CCCACCNCCACCCCCTCCACCCACAGCCATCCCCTCCACCCACAGCCATCCCCTCCACCCACAGCCAGTTTAACAAAACACATGAAGACAAAGAATGGGCGTAAATTCATTTATTTTCTCATTGTGTACAAACAAACCAAAACAAGGGGGGGGGGGGGGCACTCAAAAAATGATTTCGTCGCAGCAGATCACCAAAGCCATAGTTGTAGTTATATGAAATGACCGTAGCACATAGAGATTGTATGTTAAGATTATGGTGCATGCGATCAAAGAATTCATTATCAGTCATGTCAAAGAATAGCTAAACTTGATGGGGAAATAAATTATTGATTGAATTGAATCTTAATACTAATACTGTTGGAGCCAATATTTCCTCAACTTCCATACCCTCCACACGGGACCAATACTCGCTCAAGTCTGAATCCATCCACAACTATAAAAAAAACACTCTCTCCACAATTGAATCCATCCATACCTAGCCAACACTCTCTCCACAATTGAACACATCCATTCCTACCCAACACTCTCTCTCTCTCCACAACTGAACCCATCCATACCTAGCCAACACTCTCTCCACAACTGAACCCATCCATATCTAGCCAACACTCTCTCCACAATTGAAGCCATCCACACCTAGCCAACATTCTCTCAACTATGAACCCATCCACACGTACCCAACATTCCCTCTGCCATCAGACCTACTTTCACCAAACAGGATCCATTGACAGTTTATTGGCATGTCGATAAATTGGAATTTGATTAGACGGTCTAATCCAGCGGTCCTCAACCTGTGGGTCGCAACCCATTTAGGGGGTCAGACGACCGTTACACAAAGGTCGCCCAAGATCATCAGAAAACTCATATTAATGAAGTAGAAACGAAAATAATATTATGGTTGGGGGTCACCACAACATGAGGAACTGTGTAAAAGGGTTGCGGCATTAGGACGGTTGAGAACCACTGGTCTAATCGATTATAATCTCATTAGGTGATTGCATAATCATCTTACTACATTGAACGTGGTATTAATCTGGATCAGCGACTTTTTTTTTTAAAGATGTGAAAAATTTTGAAATTAAATCTACATAGGCGATAGAACTATAAATCAATGACACCTGTCTAAACCAGGGGCGCACTTATTGTAAAGCTAAAACGTCAGAGCACGTTGTTCTGTCGAGGCCCCATGAGGGACTTTTTTTTCTGCTCCTGAATTTTTTACAATACGGCAGTTGTAATCAGCAACAGAGCAATGTAAAAAGCCAAGCTCGTTTTAATGAGACGTTATCATTCGTGTAACAATTTTACCAAAGACTTTGATGACCTGTTTAATTTAGACTTCAGAGCTTGTTGTGCGTTGGGAGGAGCCAAAATAGCAGCTAATGACCCCAACACATGATAGACAAAAGACTGCTGCTTCTGAGAAGGGTACCGTTGACCGGACACTGCTTCTGTTCACGGTATCCACCCAATTCAGCTGGCACTCTGGCCATACACTATCATGTATGATGGTGATGTTGTGTTTGCGGTGTTCGTCAAGTGACACCTAGCTAAGCTCACAAACGACAGGGTGCCTGAAAAGGACGGGAGTTGGAGGGATGGGGGCACCTAACCATGATGGGTATGGAGGGTGGGGGCGCCTAAAAATAACGGGCTCGGAGTCGTTGGTTTGTAGGGGGGGGGGAGGCAACTAAAACATTTAATCTTAGAAAAAAAAATATATAGATGCCCAAAAGGGCCTGAGGATTGAATATTGGGGATCTGTAGTCCGGTATGCAATGCGTTGGAGCTAGGTTTTGTGATTTTATACTATAGGGTCCAGGGATTGTTGGAGGAGTCATTATGATGACGTTGTTTTTATAAATATTACAACCCCCCCCCCCAACCACCGCAGACCGGGGTTATTTATTGTATTCACCTGAGAGTTCAAATGATCGATCAGTACACACGTCATTCGATTGATCGCCAGAGATTGTTCCTCGAAGTTAATTAAACAATTTCTCAACGAGTCCATACTTCTTGGGTGCGACCTGGATAAAGGGTATTTAAATAATTTGGCTTGATGTATGGGGCCCATTTACATCACTGTTACAACAATAGTGTCTTAAGCCATAGTCCTCTCAGTGGTTCTCACGATATATTGTCTTATTGAGTACTAGAAGGAACCCGCCAAACAATGGTGGCCGCAATCCGTGAACTTCACGTCTCCTAAAAGTCACGTGACAAATCATGCATTCAAGTTACGTACAGTAGTAAGAATCCCACTTGCTACGCACTTCTGGAAATTTAAATTTTTTTCACGCGTGTGAACACAGCATCAAGCCCATCACATACATACTTAGAGTAATATTCCTTGTGATTATCATGTAGCTGTTACAGCTCATGTATATTTTAGCTGTAAACAAGTGTCAAATTTTGAGACTACTCATCCAGCGTGTTATTTTTTAAAGGGTTTGGAACTGTTAATCCTGTGTTATTTTTCTACAACTCAGCCTTATTTCAAAGACATTCCCTTCCAATCCTCTAGCCCTGTTTAAATGAGACAGTTCCTTTCAGTCCTGCAGGCCTATTTAAATGAGTCAATGCACTCAAATCCTCCAGTCCTGTTTAAATTGACACAGTCCCTTCTAATCCTCCAGACCTGTTTAATTGAGAAATAAAATATTTGTTCCAAAAATAATCATCATCTTGTGATGAACGGTTAGAAGTTCATCGAACCACCAGACTTACAATTTGAGAATTCCTGGTGTTGCACATTAAAGAAAAGCACCGTCACGCCTCGGTATGCCACGGCAGAGTTTCACAAACCGTTGTTAATGTGGCCCTGTCACTTGGATTTAACTTTTGCTCTGCAACCCACTAAAATTATCATTTCTTCTGGCCTATAGATAACACAAAACATATTTCAATGTTAATAATCTTTTACATACAACCTAATATTAAATAACAATTTTATTGAATTTAAAAAAAATATATAAATTAATCTAAAAATCTGGTAAATAATTCATCACAGAGAAGTGTGGTCCTTTTTTATCACAGAGAAGTGTGGTCCTTTTTGATCACAGAGAAGTGTGGTCCTTTTTGATCACAGAGAAGTGTGGTCCTTTTCTTGTTGTCTAAGACGTTGAGGTCATTGAGAAAAGATGATACATTTTTAAAACGTGAAAAACGGTGTTTGCATCTTATACCACTTCACACCGATCGTGAAGAAACGATAAATGTTACCACCCTGTCTAGTACACCAAAACACAAAACACCTGGGACCTAGGGTTTCAATATGTTTGTTTTTGTTTTGTTCTTATTCTGACGATCCGGTCGGCCTATTTGGCTTTAATGACATTTGGGAAACGCAGTGCTACGGGAATGACATTCTTCTCTCATGGATCCCATTTATTTTGGCAAAGCCGACCAAGAGACACGGAAACACGTTGTACAGCATTCTGAAAGCTGTTGGTGGTCGGGGTCCTGTACTTAATCACCGGTTAACAGCGGTATAATGTGGGCCTTGCGGCGACTATTGTTCGAAATGTCGCAGCAGCGCGTCTTGGAACTCGATCAAAGGGCCAAAATGACTGGGGTAGATTCGGTTACGGTTGAGGTGGGTCAGGGGCTCAAATCAATACGAACCATAATCAATGAATTTATGAAGCGATGCACAACTTTGTGTGTTGATATGCTAACACAGGGGCGAGTGTGCCACTGACCTTGACATTGCAGTAAGAGGATTATTGTAGAATAGACGACAGTGGCGTTACTAGAAGGCAAAACTGAAGTTTTGGAGGGACTCTACGGCCTTGATAGTGGATAACTGTCAAGAAAATTTTAAACCGCTCGGAAACGCATTTTAACCACCAGTCCGTCCAACAGGACGCCTTACATTAGCGCCACCCTTCCACAAGACTCTCTAAAGAATATTCACCAAGTTTGGCGCCAAAAAAAAAAACAGTTCAGAGTTCAAGTGTGACGTGGTTATCCACCAATTACGCCCCACAGCTGCAAATTTCAGAGCTACTCAACTTCGTGGCAGTGTACGCCCACGGAGGGTGAACATTGTGAGAAAATAAAACAGCCACGTGGGGGGGGGGGCAGGGAATAGTAGGCGTGGCAAGCAGCCGATCACATCAATGTTATTTCCAGTCTGCTACTCAGGCGGGGCAACGGCCTCCGATTAGCTGTGGGGAAAAGTTGGTTGTGGATGAAATGAAGGGGAAGACTCGAGGACAACATTCGATTTCATCTCGTTATTGGACCACCGCCATTCTATGCGCCTGTGCCGTCATGTGATTATGACACTTTCTGACTCTCACACGTAACACGGTCAGTGTTAAAATGACAGAGAAGCCATATGTCCATGAATTGTGATTCTTAAAGGATTAAAACGTGTCAACTTGATTAGGCAACTGTGTTTTGTTTTCTTCAGTACAGAGAGAAGGGATTTATTATCAATTGTAAAGAAAATTTACTTGACATGATCAGATAATCGACATCCAAATATGCAGATAGTTGTCATCCACAGCTAGAGATAGATCTAGTTGATATCCACAGATAGAGATAATTGACATCCACAGTTAGAGATAATTGATATCCACATATAGAGATAACTGTCACCACAGCTAGAGATAGTTGACATCCTCAGATAGAGATAATTGATTTCCACATAAAGAGATAACTGACATCCACAGCTAGAGATAGTTGACATCCTCATTTAGAGATAATTGATATCCAAATAAAGAGATAACTGACATCCACAGCTAGAGATAGTTGACATCCTCAGATAGAGATAATTGATATTCCCATAAAGGGATAACTGACATCCACAGCTATAAAAATTTCAACTGTTACAATGTGAAATGTGCGGTTTCATTGAGCGCTTAAAGTAGACCTGTGTGTAACAAAACCCGTAATGCGTTTTACAACATGGCTACACTCACTCATGTGTACCCTAGTCTATTTATAGATCATTCGCATTGTTTTTGAGATGTTTCCCATATGTGCCGGATGACAAAGATGAGCACCAGTGATTAACTTATTTAAATTTAACATTTCAACGGATTCTACTCCCACTCACACAAAGATGACTTTGCGCATGAGTGATTTTGGGAGTATGGACGAGGCAAGGGTGAGGGCCATGAAGATCAAAAGCCTGTCACCCGAGGGGAGTAAAAATAGTTTGTATGGTAATTATAAATGTGATGTCAGTGGTAATGTTAAAATTGATTGCGCCGGGGTCACCAAAACATCGGTTGGGTGGAAACCTCCAAGTAGCTTTGCTCATATTAAATAAGCTCTATATTTCATAAATTCAAACAGACTTCTGCCTACTGAATGATTTTCACACCGATGAAACCATATTTTTTGTTTTGTTTCCTGCCCAGATGTGACATTGAATGCAGATGATAAACTTGGAGGCGAGGACGATGACGTTAAACGGACAGCAACTGGACAGCACGGTGTGGACTTAACTGGTGCTGCAGCGGAGGAGGTCCAAGCAAAACCTAAACGGCGAGAAGTGGTGAAGAAGTCAAAGGTCGAGAAGTCACTTATCATCACACCACCTCAGGTACGTGAGACACCCACTGAGCTTTGGTGTGAGACACCCACTGAGCTTTGTTTTGAGACACCCATTGAGCTTTGTTGTGAGACACCCATTGGACTTTGGTGTGAGACACCCATTGAACTTTGTTGTGAGACACCCATTGGACTTTGGTGTGAGACACCCACTGAACTTTGGTGTGAGACACCCATTGAACTTTGGTGTGAGACACCCATTGAACTTTGGTGTGAGACACCCATTGGACTTTGGTGTGAGACACCCATTGAACTTTGGTGTGAGACACCCATTGGACTTTGGTGTGAGACACCCACTGAACTTTGGTGTGAGACACCCATTGAACTTTGGTGTGAGACACCCATTGAGCTTTTGTGTGAGACACCCACTGAGTTTTGGTGTGAGACACCCACTGAGTTTTGGTGTGAGACACCCACTGAGCTTTGGTGTGAGACACCCACTGAGCTTTGGTGTGAGACACCCACTGAACTTTGGTGTGAGACACCCATTGAACTTTGGTGTGAGCCACCGATTGAACTTTGGTGTGAGACACCCATTGAACTTTGGTGTTTTGTTGTGAGACACCCATTGCTCTTTGGTGTGAGACACCCATTGAACTTTGGTGTGAGACACCCATTGAACTTTGGTGTGAGACACCCACTGAACTTTGGTGTGAGACACCCACTGAACTTTGGTGTGAGACACCCATTGAACTTTGGTGTGAGACACCCATTGAACTTTGGTGTGAGACACCCATTGAACTTTGGTGTGAGACACCCATTGAACTTTGGTGTGAGACACCCATTGAACTTTGGTGTGAGACACCCATTGAAGTTTGGTGTGAGACACCCATTGAACTTTGGTGTGAGACACCCATTGGACTTTGATGTAAGATACCCACTGAGGTAAGTTGCGGACACCAATATGTATGTTGTACAGGCCTGCTGTAGAGTATATGTATTTTTCGACTGTCTTAGAAGACCCATGGGAAAGGGTTGTTCGACCCTCAAGGTGGTCGCGACCCACAGGTTCAGAACCGCTGGCTTAGAGGGTCTACAACATTCCAAAATTTTCTGTGTGTTAACATGACCTTAATGTTTAAATATTAGGTTATTAAAAAGAAAGGAACTTGAAGATTTTTATGAGAGGTTGACCTAAGAAACGAGTCAGATATTTCTGAGAATCCATAAAACAGTAATATTGATTTATGGATGCCCCCTTTCAATCAATATTGTATTAGTTTCTGTTGGTGTAGTTTGTACAGCTAATCAATCAATATTGTATTAGTTTCTGTTGGTGTTGTTTGTACAGCTAATCAATCAATATTGTATTAGTTTCTGTTGGTGTTGTTTGTACAGCTAATCAATCAATATTGTATTAGTTTCTGTTGGTGTTGTTTGTACAGCTAATCAATCAATATTGTATTAGTTTCTGTTGGTGTTGTTTGTACAGCTAATCAATCAATATTGTATTAGTTTCTGTTGGTGTTGTTTGTATAGCTAATCAATCAATATTCAATGGCTATGAAGAGATAAGTCATGCATCAGATCTGCTTAGAATGGTTGTACATGGACCAGAATTGATCTCAAGCTCTTTGTATAAGGTCAGCAAAATTTGAAGAAGAAAACACAATGTCAATTTTTTTATGTATCCACTTTTTTTATGTATCCATTTGTTTGATGTGTCAATTTGTTGATGTATCCATTTGTTTGATGTGTCAATTTGTTGATGTATCCATTTGTTTGATGTGTCAATTTGTTGATGTGTCCATTTGTTTGATGTGTCCATTTTTTTATGTGTCCATTTTTTTATGTGTCCATTTTTTTTATGTGTCCCTTTTTTCTCCAGAGTCCTCCCCGTCTTCCATCACCTCCACCTTTCAAAAGACGCTCTCCTACACCTCCATCTCCCCCTCCTCCACAAAGCCAAGCCCCTGAAATCGAGGAGCCGCCCTTGCCAGCGATTGACATCCCCGAAGTGCCTGATCTGCCTGAGATTACAGAAAAAGCAGTTTGTACATTTGTGTTTTTTGTTGGTGCTTGCGGTTTTGGGAGCAACTTTTACACATTGACTTTTTTTTAGAAATGCTGCCGTTTTGTTAAATATGTGTTTGTATCTGTGACATGATGATGGTCAACTGGTCAGTGGTTTTTTTTTAAGAGGTGGGATTGCCGGCTAACTGCAGAATTTTGTTCAGTGGTGGTGGTGACAAATATCATGCCTTCTCCGCCCCCCCCCCAACTTTAACCCTTGCTATGCCACTGGTTGAGTACTTTTTGATACCCGAAGTGCAAGGAAAAAAAAAAGTATCCAGGTAAAATGGGATGGAATAATTAAATAATTAACAGTCAAGCCGTTGTAACACCCACATACATTGACTTCTCTCCCCTTAGCCTGTGCCCTTGTAACATCCACATCAATTTACTTCTCTCCGCTTAGCCTGTCCCCTTGTAATACACACACGAATTTTACTTCTCTCCCCTTAGCCTGTGGAGAAAAAGAAACAGAAACAAAAGTTTATCGTGGAGCCACCGCCCCAGCCCCATGTCAAGGACACACCCAAAAGGAGGAAAACCGCCCCAAAAATCCGGCTTGTGTGAGTGACGTGAGATATTACAAAGTAGTGTTTATCACACTGTGGTAGGCCTACATGTGACACTGGCTGTACATTACTCTCTCCATACATTCAATGCATTACAAAGCCGTTTTACAAAAGCAAAATGATGGTACTTATATGATAAATCTAACAGTTCATTTAATTGGTACCCTGAATGGTAAAGTTTGAAATCCATTGGATTTTTGGATTACATTTGATTATGTAATCTAAGACGTAACAACATGTGTAAAGTTCTAGAGCTAGTGATGATTAAAACAACACTGGCATGGCATGGGGTTTTGTTGTACGTTTCAGCATTTACAACACCATCATTTTAAAACAAGAGCATTGAGTTAACTGATTTATTTGACAGCCCTAGAAATCTGTCAAGACCCAGAAAGTCAAGACCAGCAGAAGCTCCGATAACAGCAGAAGACTTAAACGACATCCAGGACCCACTGGACTTTCTGGCTAAATACTGCATCATTAAGTGAGTGCCTCAAACTCATATCCATTCTACTGTTATGTAAAAAGGAGGAATTTGTTTGACACTACTGTAAATTTACATGCTTGTGTTTTTAGTTTGATTGTTTAACTGCAAAGTTTTTTTGTTTTTTTTTAAATTCTCAAATTCAGATATTAATCTATAAATTTTACCCAACAAGAGCTTCTTATCATAATTCAGTTGATGTGTGACACACTATTTATGTTGTTTTATCTTGGATATCTGAAAGAGCCAGCAATGGTTGATTTTGAATTTCTTGAAGATGTCATCCACTCTATTATCTGTGGCCCGTCATTTGTTCCGTCTCAACTACAACACGCAAATATATTGAGTGTTGTGCTCACTGTTTATCAATGGCCCTTTTGTCCATGCATTTGGTTCAGAACATTTTATACCATGAAATAATAAAGCGTTAAATTTTCCTTACCTTTCAAAATTTAACAAAATCCAGAAATAAAATTAAGAATTTTTAGTCTGCTTTTCTTAATATTTTAATTATTTGTATAATTTAATGGCAAAAAAAAGGGAAAACAATTAGTTGAAATTTAATTAATTTGTTTGACTCTTTTTCCTCATTTAACCAGACAGAACCATCTTGTAGTCAAGTTAAATATTTAAGGTGTGGATTTAAAATAATTCAAAACAAATAAATGAAGAATTCTGAAAATAATTCTATGTTAGGTGTTGCTATTCAAAGAATCAAAATAATTCTGTGTTAGGTGTTGCTATTCAAAGAAACAAAATAATTCTATGGCAGGTGTTGCTATTCAAAGAAACATTAAATCTGAAATTAGATTTACTATATCAGTATTTTCGTCCTCATGAATAAAAAAAAAAAATCTTAATTTTTATAAAGTTTCTTCAAAATCTTTTTTATTTTCCAGTCCTGATCGTTTACCATTTTATGAAGTGGTATTTGAGGCTACAATAGTGGAGCAGGTTCCTCGTTACACCAAGCCGGCCCCTTGGGAACAACCAGAAAAACCCCAGGCTGCTGAAAGTGAGGGTGTGGAGGAAGAAGCAGGGGCAGAAAACCCAGTGGACGAGAAAGCTGGGACAAAGAAGAAAGGTAAAGATTTATAGACAGCCTGATAATTCTGAGTGCCTGTGATTGATGCTATTAATAGCCCAAAATAGCCTTGTAATAAAAATAAATAACACAAAAGTTATTTCAGGTAAATCTAAGAAGACCAAATTAGCAGCGGTGAAGAAAGAACCCCCAGTGCTCAACGCTGCACTACTGCCAACAGAGCAAGGGATGAACCTGGAGAAAGTTGTAAGTGCAACCAAATTCCAACATCCTTTCTCTTGTTGATTGTTCAAGAAATTTAGCCTTATATATTGATATATAAAAAGGAGTGTGAAAATAATATAGCAGTTGAGCCCACTGTATTGTGTCGAAATGTTGTGTCAGCTAGTTGTAATCACTGTTGTCAGTTTTGCCACAATTGTTTTTAATGGCTTTACCTGTTAACACTGACAGCCTCCAATGGGCTGATTGTACTCATATTTTTTAATGCCATGACATATAAAGCCACAGTCTCACCCAAATATCCATTTACCACTTAGGCCATGACTTTAGAGGAACAACACCTCGAGAAGCTCATCTACACATTAGACATGCTGCAGGACAAGATGAACATGCTTGGTGGTCAGCTGGAGGAACTTGAAGGTAGAGCTATAGGGCAATTTAACAAATGCAATCTAGCCTATTCAAGGAATATTATTTGAATATTAATATTTGGAGAAATTCAATTTAAAAAAAAAAAAAAGAATTAAAAATTTAAAGATGGAAGAATTTACATGTTTTCTTTTTTTTTTTTTTTTTTTTTTACAAATGCAATCTAGCCTATTCAAGGAATATTATTTGAATATTAATATTTGGAGAAATTCAATTTAAAAAAAAAAAAAGAATTAAAAATTTAAAGATGGAAGAATTTACATGTTTTCTTTTTTTTTTTTTTTTTTTTTAATTTATTTTGTTTTTTTTTTTTTTTTTTTTTTTTTTTTAAATAAATGTGGAGTTTTCCTTTCTTATCAAAATGTCTATAGATTAAAATTTGTTTGCAGGTATTTTTGGTGGGACCTAAATTTAATATAGATAATAATTTACAGAGTTCATGAGAAAAAAAATATTTAAAAGTGTTTAATTCATTTTTAATATATTTTCTGCATTAAATGTTTGAAGTGATGTTTTGAAGTAGAAGTAATTTTTTTAAGCATTTGTTTGAAGCATTTATTGTTTTAAGCATTTAAAGTAATTGTTTGAATTAATGTTCATGTATGGCTCAGAAATTTGCTTTTTTTCTTCTTCTTTTTTAATGTACTTATGGCTTTTCCATTTTTTAGAATTATTTTCTTGGAATTTTGTTTAACATTATACGTTAAACATTTTTTTCATAGCCAAGAGAACAGAACTTATAGCTCAGAAGGCAAGACAGAGATTTCCTGAAATTGCATCACCCAATTACTTACCCAAAAAGAAAAAAAAGGGCAAGAAAGGAAACAAGGTGAATATTATTTATTCTTAATATCACTAAAACTCTTATATAGTCATACATTATTGTTTATCTTTTCAATGTTCATTTTATTTATGTTTAATCTGAGTCTCCAAGACAAAGCAATGAAGATTGTTTAAATAGACTGACATAAAGAAATTTATTGCAATAGAGAGATTTTCTAATTATCTGCTGTTTTTTGTTTTGTATTGTCTGCTGAAGGAGGCATCTTTCGAAAACATCCTTAAAATTGTCCAGTATGTTCATTTCAATCCTTAACATATCTTGTTTCACTATTTACATGTACTTTAATAGATTATTAGATGAATTTAACTATATGCATTAGCTAGTTTCAGCTAATGTAGCCAATAGCTTAATTAATTTGACAATAACTCTCCAGAAAAACAAACATGCATCAGAAGAAACTCCTCGCAAGTTTCATCCAGAAGAAATCACTGATGACATTGTTGTATCAAGGCTAGAGGACAAATTGCTAAATGAGGTGAGAAATTTGGGGAGGACTGAATTCAGGTTGAATTGATAAGAAATATAGAAGGGGAAGAAGAAAACCAGAAGAAGGACAATACAAAGAAAGTGGAAGTTTTTTGCTTTCAAAGGCTTTTGGCCAAAACTTCCACTTTCTTGTATTGTCCTTCTTTGGGTTTTCTCTACCCTTTGTATATTTCCTTAATGAGATGAAAGCTCACGACTTAAAAATTTCTTTTGAAAAATTCCTTAAAGGCAACTTTTTGTCTCCTGGTTGGGAAAGGCTGAAGAAAAAGGTAGTAAAAATATCTCTCCCCCCCCCTCCCCTTTTTGATGGCTTGTCTGGATCAATATATAACCCTCTTAATGGGGGACTGGGGTGGTGATACTAGAGATACCTCTCTATGGCCTGCCTTAATTTGAAATGGCATTGCATAACTGATGGGTACTAAAGAGCTTGGGTTAGGCCTTAGTTTTCCAAATGGAGGAGTAGGAATAGACACATGGAATACACAAATCAAATAGTAAATTTTCTCACATTTACCACCATAACTCCATTCCATATTCTATTCTTAATTATTAGCCTCTCTTAATGATATTACCTTATTAATTAGTATCCTTCAATTCTAAATGAGCGTTGCCCTTCTTTTGAATAGAGAAATGCCTATTAACAAACCTTAAATGTCATGATATTATTGTTTCTAAACAATCTTAATAAATACTGCTAATAATTACCCTTGTCTTATTAAAGTCAAGATTGTACTAAAGGTAATTTGAAGGCTTATCATTCCTATGAAAGTATTCCTTTACCATCTGAACACAGATGTGTCGAGAACCAGATTTGAAAATGCTGGAATCAGAGATAGAGATTCGAAAGTTGAAGGCTAGGGACATACAGAACAGAGTGGAGCAAATTGCAAGTGAGCAAAAAAAAATTCTTCTCTTCATGTTGAATTTGTTTCATTCCTCTATTAAACTTTTGCATTTCCCATTCTAATAATTTTCATGTCCTTGGAGTATTTTTTTTAATTAATTTTTTTAAAATTATTTGTATAAGGACATGTCTTAATTCTGGACACTTAAACAGGGCACAAGTGAATATTTTTAGAATGGTTTTTTTTTGTTTTACAAATACTCAGTAATACTGTTAAACAGTATCAATAAAGTTAACAAATTTTAAATCAGTAAAAATAGAAACTCTAGAATCAACATATTTGAGCTTATTTTTTTAGAGGAGGCAACTAACTGTATATAAATCAAAGAAATTTTGCCTGTTTCATTTTGGTACACACAATTAGAGGTTATTTGACCATTTGGATTTACACAGGTGAAAAACTTTTAGCTGATGCATTTTGCATGAACCACTATTTCCTGCGTCAAGGTGCCAGCAACAACATGCCTGAACACTACAGAAGACAACAGAGTGAGCTCTACAACAGATTACGACCTAACCCTGTAAGTTACAACAGGATCCGAAACATTCTTTTATCAAGAAACACCTTATTTTGTATTTTATTTTTATCTTCTTATACCATTTTGATTCAATAATTTATGGCACATGTAATGGAAAGGGGTATATAAATATTTAATGTTAATTTAACATGGAAATTTCGGAGAACATAAAAAGACACTTACTTTTGACATATCATAATCAAGAGTTGATGTCTGTAAAGATAGCATCAAGACCTTTGAGAGTTAATTCAGTGTAATTTAATTATATTTCTATTATTTTAGGACTTTGAGATGAACCTGGAAGAAGTTGAGGAAGCCTTGCAGCAGATAAACAATCATCTACTAACTGAGAAAGAATTTTATTTTCTCTACAATGTAAATAGAATATACTTGTTCCATAAGATTTGAATTTAAAAATCATAACAGATTAGTTTTTTTTTATTAAAAGGCTATAAAGTTTGAATTTTTAATAATTCTAAAAAAATATATTTGTGTACTTAACAAATTGACATTTTAAATCCTGCTTTAAAATCACCAAAAAAAATGGTCTTCTCCAGATTGGGTGAGGTGTATAGAATTAAATGTAATATTTTTCATTATAATACTTTAAAAAATTTTATTGCATTGATTTTAATAGCATTTTCTTATGAATTTTTGTTTTTGTTTAGGTGTTAAATCTCCCAGGCAGAGAGAGAATTAATTTCCGATTATTCACAATAATAGCTGCTCTATCAGAGAAAGTCACACAGCTTGAGTAAGTTTAACATATATATTATTTTAATTGTTGCTTTTTAGTTTTTGTTCCATTTAAGTTCTGAAACTTTGATGAAAATTTAAATAATTGTGCATGTTCTTATTGTTCTTAGTAATTACAAGACCTAGAAATTTTAAGAATATTGTACACAAGTAATAAAAATATGTTTGAGGTCTACAGCTTATATTTTATATAAACACAATTCTCCACCTTTCATCAATTATCATTTTTTTTTTTTTTTTTTTTTTTTAAAAAATGTACTATATAAACTGTTTATAGAACTAAAGTATTCTATTTAAAATTTTGGCTACTGTACTTTCTATTTCTTGGATTATGATTATTTCTTTTTTTAAGTTGGGAGCTTATGATAATATTATAATATTTTAACTAATAAGCAAATTAATAATATTTTTATTAATCTCTTTAAAAATATAAATTTTTAAATTTCAGTCCAGTAATAAGAAAACTCATTAACAACTTTAATTACAATGCTCTTGATATTAAAATGGAAAAGTGCAAGGTTTGTTTAACTTCAAATATAATTAACTAATTTGACTTTATCCTTTAGTTTTTAATATTTTAGTATTTTTTTTAATTACCACAATTGCCTTTCATCTGTTAATACTTATATGCTCACTTGATTTGACATGCCATTTTTATAATTAAATTTTGAGACATAAGACTTTTTAAAAGACATTTAGATAGTTTCTTAATACATTTTTATATCTCAAACTACTTATTTATATTATAAACTATATATTATATGGTGATATGTAGCCTATTTATTCTCAAATCCTTTCCTAATAGACTTTTTTTGTTGCCATCTTTGCTCGTAAAGTTGAGCATAATAAATGTTTTTAAAAACCTGGTTACTCACAGGAATTGTTTGAGCTACTGGAATCTGAGCACATGCCTAAAGGAGCAGCCCAGGCAGCAAGTTTAGCTGTTGAGTTGACAGCTGGTGGCCTTAGACCGGAACACACCAGATATGTAAGATTTTTTTTTTTTTTAACTATTACTTTACAAAATTTCCTTTTTGAAAAAATAATATTGTAGGCTAATTCTGTAGGCATTTAAAATAAAATGGTTCGTTTTTGTTAAGTTTTGAACTGATTTTTTGGTAAATAAAATATTTTACTTTTACCTAAATGGGTCATAATCAAATGCATAAGATACATTTAATACCTAATTCATTAACGGATAGTTATACCAGTATCTTTGAGTAAAGAAATTTTGTCCATCAGAAAAGGGTAAGAAAATAAATTTTGGAATATCTATTCTTTCATAGTCTATAACTTGTAAGCAAACTTACAATAAATATGATAAATACATATTTGGAAAGGTTCTTTTAATCTTGTTTATTATTTTCAGGTGTTAAATAAATTTAACAGAGACAGTAAAGGAATAATAGACTTTTTGGATTTTGTGACTTATGTTCCTTTATTTGTGGAGATTCATAAACGTATTATCAACAATCCACTTAGTGAAAGATTTGATCTGTGATATTTTTTTATTATTTTATGAATATTGTATCATATCTAAAAATTTTAGGAACAGTATCAGATTTAACTATTTTCAATGTAAGAAAAAAAAAACATGTTTGAATTCATAAACAGGTGTGTGATTATAAAAATAACTACAAGTTTTGAACTACCAACTAAAGTTTTCAAACACTCTGGTCATTTTAAAAGTTCTGACATTGGTTCTAAAATTTTATTGGCAAATTCAATACATTTTTAGCCAAATTCTCTTTTCAAATTATCTATTTATTTTATTATCAACATAATAATTGTTTATTGCTGACACACATTTTTGCCATTATTTCTATACATTTATAAATTGGATTTTGTATTAAAAATTGTTGTGTAATAAATTTTTAAGGTTAAAAAATTAAAAAACCAAGCCTTTTTAATGGTATGCAATTACTGTGATAAATATATTTTCTTCCAAATTGTAAAAATATGATTTTGTTGATGTTATGAGTTTCTTTATTGTTAATTTTTTACCATTAATGCATTTTGGTGTCTTATATTCTCAGGTCCGAAACCTGAGACTGAAATATTTTAAAGAGATCTTCAAGCTCTATTTCTTTGATAACAGTAATTCTGGCTGTTGCAAAATACTAGATTTAATCAACAGTCATTTCTAGAATTGGTCTCAAGAGAAAAGAGCATATATTCTATTAAAAGGTATCACCCTCATGGAAGAGAGTGTGATCCAACAGATTGCAACATAACTATATGTTTATGAAGATAATTTATCCTAAAAATTATAAGATTCAAATAAAATAGGTCCTGAATATTTTTTACTAATCCAGTAAAGAAAGTAACACTTTACCCAGCTTATTCAGAGATTCATATGCTGAGGGCAAATTTTTCACGCTGTTTGAAATTGCAATTTTAATTCAGCTACAAAGAAGCAAATATTTATTAGAACATAGCACTCCATACCCTGAACATTATATCCAATACCCTTCTTTTTACTGTACAACTCAGCTTCTATGTTTCTATTCTCCCTATTTTTAAGTATTCCTTATTTTTTCACAATCAATAGTTCATGTTCCAATGCCTTAAATGATTCAAATGCCATGTCTCTCTAAGATTATATTCTTGTAAACAGTAAACATAGGATAAGAGGTTGTACATATATTCAATTGTGATATTTTATGTGTCAAGAATGAATAATCACAAGGAATAAATGATTAAAATTCAGACTTTATTTCTAAAAATTAATTTTAAAAATAAAATAAAACTAAAGAGCATTTAATTTATTTAAATGAATATCATGGAGGATTTTTATCTTTTTGCAATTGCATCCAATAGACTCATTGTGGTTTTCAAGATTTACCACATAGAAAAAGTTCCATTTGCCCTTTTAATAACTTTTGAAAAATAAAATTCTGATTGAAATATTAATTTGAGATGTTTAATTACTTCCTTTTACTGGGCTGTGAAAAGATTTAATTAATTAAACATGAATGGACAATATACCTCTATTAGAGAAAGTGTACTATTGTTTATTTTTCTTAAAGTATTTGAAAGTTTGGATCTTTCTCAAGCATTATAGAATACATTTTCTGCATTCATATGTAAAGCTAAAAGATTTTTTACACTTATTTTTTAAAAATTATCTCAGAGTAGGCTATAATCATCTTAAATCTAGTTCATTTACACTTAAAAATAATAATGTGACCCTTAGTCCCTCAAAGCAAATGTTTATCTGCAAATAAGCTGTAGTTTAAACAAATGTTTGCATACTGCCTTGAGTTTTCTTAATCTTCCTAATTGTTTAGGATTTGTAATGTCAAACTGAGAGAAATTGATAGTGCAACTTCAGATGTCTGTACAACCCCTGAAGCCCATGAGCATCAAATTTATGTGCATGGCACATAAGAAAATACTTAATGAACATTTTTTAATTTATTGCCAATAATAATTTACTTCTTTATACCCATGAATGATGCTTAAAAATAAATCAGTTTAATTTGGAATATAGAAATGAACTTATTTTTTATTCCATTTGTTGAAAGGGAAAGTGACATGTGTAATAGAATTTAAATAAATAAAAACAATTTAAAAGCATTAAGAACAAATAAATTTGTTAAAAAAAGACACACACACACACAACAAAAACACAATAAATTTTATTAAATCTGCTTACCACAGACATATTTTATTGATATAAAACTTGATTTACATTCTGAAACAATTTTTCTGGACAATACAGAAAGACTGACTAGTAAAAATTTTTTTTTAAATAAGACACCTAAGACAACACACATTAGTGTATGTGTCAAGGTGTAAGGCAAGAAGTGGAGAATAATTTCTTAGATAAAAAACAATGGGAATGATTCAATGATAAAGTAAACAATATTACCAATGCTAGTCATGATTGTTGTGTGCTATACAAGCGATGAAGATGGATGGACTTTGCTCAATCTTTCTTGAACACAAAACATAGCACACACAAACACACAAAGAAATATGTCATAACTAAAGAACCTAATTTTTTTTTAAGAGCAACAAACTTTAAATTGAAAGCCACAAACAATTGTACAAAATATATGTATATAAATATATCTACCAATGATTAACAGGTTTTAATCTGATATGTCAGGTAACAAACATTTAATATACATACATCATGTTTGTCAACCAATCCAATTGACCAATTCCCATAAATATTACTGCCACAAATCTTGTTTCATAGATGAAAGATTTTGGAACAATGCTTTCCACCCCCAGCTTGCTGGTCAGATAAAAGGTGTATGAAGCTAGTCCCCACTGCTAGCTGTTAAGGGTGTACAATGCTAGTCTCCACTTCAAAATATGTGGTTACCAGAGAGTATCAATGAATTTAAGTTTTCTTCCTGCTGTGCATGTTCTTATGTTAACTTTGACATGCAAGTGGCTTGCAAGTCTGGCAATTAAAAAAACAAAAACTAAAGTCAGAAAATTAAAGCACCAATAATGGCTAATTATGGATCAAGCAAAACTCTTATATTTACTTGAGAAGAATAAACATTAATTTTATTTTGTTTCTATTTATGGAGATCTAAATGTCAAGACACTTTGTAATATACATCAAAATATACACTGGAACTTCACAAGGTTGGACTATCTTACTTTATTTTTTTTTAAATTGAATTACTACATTTGGTAAGTTTATGGATCTGCACATAACTTTTTTGTACAGTAATTTGCATGGCCCTAAATATAAATTAAAGAGTAATAGAACAATGCCAGAAATTAAGTACATTTTAAATATTTGTATACACAAAAGGGAATTTTTTTACATAAACAACAATAAACATTTAAAAACAACCAAGATAGGAATGTTAATGCTAGATTGACAAAGTAAAAATGATTTTTTAAGTGAAGGCTACAAGAAATATCAATATCTTTTAATTTACAAAATATTTTGAAAATTTGGTATAAAAACTGATGAAAAAAATAATAACTTTAGTTGTTTTATTCATTTAGTAGCATTCCTTATTTTTGTAATAAATGGACTACTGTTAATTAAAATGTATGTAGAGTTAATTTGTACTTTCAACATTAATTTGCTTTTAATTTATTCAAACATTGTCAACAGGACTTTGGACATGAACAACTGTACTTTAAATAGAATACTAAGAATGACCACAATTGAGTAAATCATGGCTTTAAAATTACCATCCACTGAAAGACAGATCCATAAAAATAATTACAATATAAATATTATAGACATTTTGTTGAGATACATTTGAATTCAGATTTTACATTTATAACACACAATTGTAAAATTTTTTTTATCTAAATAACAATAACAGTGTACATAAATTGGTACAAAAATGTCTCTAAATGTCAAGCACTTTTCTTTATACATTTACCAGTCCACTGAAGAGAAAATAACTGCAAGCATCTTCCTGTCTGATGCTACAAAAACACACAAACCTATTATTTTAAAAATCATTATCACACATACTAACAAAAAAAAAACATTATAAGGATCTTTAAAAAAATGGAAATGTGATATGTAAAAAGTAAAATTATTTCTCTAGAATATGAAAATATTCATTGGTATAAAAAATAATTAAACTTATTACTACACAATTTCAAAGACTTGATATCTGTTTCATAAAAAAGACAATGTCATCTCCATTATGTAAGCAATTAAATCAGGACCTTTTGAGTATCGACTAGACTGTATAAAAAGTTCCAAAGCTTTTATTATCAAAGCCAGTTTTAAATGTACAATAGAGGCCAACAATAAAGCACCTCAAACACAAAGTGTTTTTATATTTTTAAAAAATGGAATAAGGAATGAAACATTTATGTTCAGTTTTATGAAATGTCAAGTTTCAAGTATGTAAAAAATGAAGTTGATTGCAGGCACGGAATGACTTAGGGTAAAACTCTTAAGTTAAAATAATGAAGACATTTGTAAAAAAACTATTTGAGGATGTACCCTATGAAAGAATTGAAAGTGCAACTTCCTGCATGGCCAACAGGCAAAAAAAATACAAGATAATATACATTTGATACAAAACATTTCCTGCTGGTGAGCATTGTGGCAGTTTCAGATTGTCTGCAGCTATGTACCAAATGATCATTTAAAAATCTCATTGTGAACAGGACAAAAACTTAATATATTAAAACACAAGCATTTAGAACTTAAGTATTAAACAGCAGTGTTATTGTAGGTCACATCAGGCACTATAATGTAAGATAATATTGATATATATATTATACTACGTGGAGCCAATGTCTTATGACTCAAATTACACTTTTATCTACAATCATCCAATGTATTTTACTGAGAAATGCTAGCTGTACCTTATTTGTCTCATGAGGAAAATGGAATTAGTTTATTGCTTATTTAAAATATCATTTAATATGTGTATAAAAATTTGAGCTATGGCTCACCATCCATAAAATTCAGTTCAATTATAAACTATCTGAAGCAAAATAATATTTCTTATGCATTGATTTTCAGCAGAACACAGGCAACTGCCTACTGTTTTGTTGAACGATGAGCTCACTTATCCTCTCTTGGATTCAACTTATATTTGACTTAACTGTGTCGCAGTTTCATTCCCAATTATTGTCATACTCCTGGGCCTCAGCTGCTTTTCTGAGAGATTCCGACTTAACTTGAAGCGACCGACTTTCTCTTCTCTGGTGAACATTCCATTTGTTTGAGGTGGTGGGACCAGGCTGTTTGCACTGTTTGTTCCACTGAAGCTGTGAGAGCGATGCATGTAAAACTTCTGCTTGGATGGCTTGGCATACATAGATGATGGCTGAATCACATAACTGCGGACACATAGAAGATTTGTGAAGATTTATATTTAATTTTTTACAAATTGCTTTAGATTTCAGAAATAATTAATTAATTGACTCACGGACCACTTACTCATTTTGTGTTTCAGTGGTGTTGGGCTGATTTTGTAACATAATTTCAAAATTCCTGTTTGAAAATTTCATGATATTACACTTACATTATATCACCTATCCTTAGTCTGCGTTTGGGAGATGGGTTTGTGATAACATAAGATAAGGTGTCTGGGCGTCTTTTGATGTCACCTGAAATAGATGAAATATTGATGATTTATTTTTAAATCCTTTATTTTAAATTTGCTCTTGCTTGTGGCTAGCTGGCAAAATTTTTGGATGGCTAGTTGACCCACTACACATCAACCTATCGAACTGAAAAATGGCACATAGACGCACTGCCAATGACAACACATTCTATCAAATTTTCAGCCCCACCCCACAAAAATCTGTTTTTCAAGGGGAAGATGAAGGAAATATGATGAACACTGATTGCACAAAATAATTTTCCTGATAACTGCACTAAAAAGATTCTTTACCAAAAAAAAAAATATCGCAAGTAGCTGAGGTGCGTAATATTTTCTTTTGTTTTTCTGAAATAGTTGGTGAAATAAATCTGCAGTGTAAAAGTGGGTGGGTCATTAGAATATTATTATAGTTTAGGAGGGGTGAACAAAAATTGCAGTTGCAAGCCTTGGGGGGGGGGGGGGGGGAACGACTAATTGGGATTCTTATTAAGTGTGTTTTCAGCCCCATCCCCCATTGCTTAAAATTACATTTTATAAAGGATTTATACATAAATATTTGCTTTAGGGGTTGTTTTATAATTGGATATTTTTATGAGAATTGTTTTCAAAATGCCCATTTTAGGTGAGCAACCCTGCGATAACCATTGACAGACTGGCCCAATAAATTTCAATCAGTGAACAGCTCTGTGTAATAAATGTTGGACAGGTGCATGGATTTATTAAGTGAACAACTTACTATAATCACTGGCTGAGAGGTCCAATGATTTAAGTCTGTTGCGGATAAGATCACCTAGGTCCCCCTGATCAGGTTTGCATATCATGGAGAAGCGATGTCGACTGATGGTTGACTGTGACTGTTTCAAGCCTTCTGGATTGTGCTTGAACTTTTTGGCCTTGTGCTGAAATATAGTTATAAATATATATTTATATATATTGGAAATAAACAATTTTATTTATCAGGGATAGAAAGTATTATCGTTACAAAGTTAAAATGGGGACGGTTGCTTAAGCTGAAAGGTCATTTATTTAGTGGAAGTTTATTAACAAAATATAAAAAAGCAATTTGAGAGTTTTTGTGCTTACATTAGGCTTTATTTCATCATTATTATTTCTGCATTTCCTTTTTGCATTGCCATCATATGTGACTAATTGGAATATGTGAATAATTTTCAAATACAATTTTATATCTAATTTTTCTTGAGTTTCAAAAAAAATTGATGGCACTAACTTTTGGTCGATGGTGAACATGAGGAAACTCAGATATTCTCTCTCCAAAAAATGTCTGGGGTCTGTCATCTGTCTCAGTGTATGCAATCTTCTCAGTCCTATAAATAGCAAATGGAATCTCTCCAGTGGCAGAGCACAAGCCATCATATAGGTCACCATACTCTGGGAATTTGTGAATAGTGGCTCTTTTCACTCGGATCTGAAATATGTAGAGGTAAGGGGTAATAAGGGAAGAGACTGCAATCAGGTAAGTACAAAATAAAATGAGTAAAACAGAGTAAGGTTAAACCTGAAAAAATAAACGCAACAAAACAGCGAACGTGTCGGCAGAAAGCCTTCGTCAAAATAACAGAAAAAAATAAAAATAACGGTATTAAAAAACAGCACACTTCTATTGCTGCCCACAGATACTACTTACCAGCTAAGTGCTGTTTCTTATTTTTATTTTTATACCGTTTTTTCTGTTGTTTTGTTCGCTGACGAAGGCTTTCTGCCGTCATGTTCGCTGTTTTGTTGCGTTTATTTTTTCAGGTTTAACCCTACTCTGTTTTACTCATTTTATTTTGTAGAGGTAAGGTTTTAATTTACATTAGAATATGGTGTAAGCTAATGTTTGTAATTTTCATGACAAATTTCATGGTTTGTTTGATGGAAATGACAACCCTGTGGCACCACTTTAACAAGAATAACAACAGCATGATGAAAAGATAGCTATGACAGGTGATACTCACAGGCCAGGCTACAGTGCAGCTTGTCCAGTGCACTGTCATCTCATGTATACAAGACTGGCAAATTATTTTTACCACACTCTCTCATTTAAATGACAATTCTGTACCACTTGGTTCATGTTATTTATTTTTTACACAGACTATGAAATGCACAAAGGAACCCATGATACATGATTGCTCACTGGGGTGGTGTACTGTGCACCCCATGCTGATGCAGCTGAATAGGGCAATAAATAAAAACAATGTTAACTAATATGAGTGGGGTTTTTTTGTGTGCGTGAAACTAAATGACCATCACATCTTAAAAACTATCATACGGACATACTTACACTAGACAAATGTCCAGAGCCCTCTTCAGCATCTATACCCAGCAATAACCTCACAAAACTTATGAGGTAACCTTTGACAAAAGTCTGGAACAAAAACAAACAAAAAATTTGCAAAGATTTTGTCTACTAGTTTATTTTTACAATTGAGATCAATCAGAGCTGAGATTTCACATTTCCATTCCCCAAATAGCTTAGAGCTTGATGATTTGTAACCATTAAAGTACCATTTCATATAATATGAAAGACTCTTAAATGGAATTCATCTTACCTGGTATAGGAGGGTGTCCAACATACTGGCTGAGAAAACCTGGCCGGCAGCAAATGGAAGCCGGAAGATGTGGTTGAGATTTGTTGTCATTGTGTCTTTTAGTTTCTGTGCAAATTGAAATGTTTGTAAGTTTATGGCATTGTACATTTATGGCATTGTTTGTAAGTAAGTTTATGTCACTGTACATTTATGGCATTGTTTGTAAGTAAGTTTATGTCACTGTACATTTATGGCATTGTTTGTAATTAAATTCCAATGTAAGATTATGACACTGTTTTTAAGTTTATGGCATTGTTATTTTATAGCACGCAATCAACCGGGAAATAAAAAATGAAATACAAAATGTCATGATGATTTTTTGGAAATGTTAATACTTTTGAGAGCTACTCACGATGTGTCTTTATGAAAAAAAATCAAAAGTAGCTATATTAAAAAATAACCATACTAAGAAGTCACTTTTTGAAGGATTAACAACTTAACCACAATTGTCTGATCAGAACCAGACTGTGTAGAAAATTTGTTGACAGGCATTGGATATATTTCTGGCCTCAAGATCGCTGACCCTCACCTGTTCAAGTCTGGAAGCCTTCTGGGAGTAAGCATCTTGTGCTGAGAATTGCATGAACCTCATGTTAGAGGCTTGACTTAGCTCAGTCACAACATAAGTATTGGGGAACAGCCTGACAAAAATACAAGATGTGTTAAAATCAGATGACGGAAGCTTAACCACAGATTCTAAAAAATTAAATACAAAGTTTAAAAAAAAAATCATTTTATGTAAAATTCAGTGTGTTTACCTAAAGATAGTTTGTACAGCAACAATGGTTTCAGAGTCAGCGAGAATTTCCTCCCCTCCATAGTCAGAATCAGAATCCCGGTTAACAACAACTAGATGGCTGGCTTTATTTATACCAGCAACCAACAGATCATCAACACTGAACAATGAAGTAAAAAAAAAAAATATATTAAGTTTTTGTGTGTGCAAAACTGTATGATTCTACATGAAATTTAATTTACACATTAAAAACAACAGTGACACAATGAAGGTCTCCTCTAAATGATAGCATGAGAACATAAGGAACACTTACTCAATTTTAGTTCAAATCATTTTTAAAATGAAATAAAATTATACATTTTTATTAGAAAAATAGGTTCAATAAATGTAAAATAAATGCTTAAGTAACATTTAAGCAGAATTTCAATAAATGAAAACAGTTTGTTCAACTCACTTTTGAATTCTTCCAATCATGTAGTAGACTAAAGGAAACTGGGCTATTGTATCCAGAAACAGGTAGTCTGGCCTGAGAATGAAAAAACAGTTCAACGTTATGTCCTCTTTTTAAGTATCACTTACAAATAATTAATTCAGTAAAGTCTTTTTTGTTTATGAACATTTTTTTTTTTTTCATTATACAAAACTAGATGATAAAACTGTCTAACCCTGAACACTCAGCCCTCACTTCCACTTCACACCACGCAACACCCCAACTGGCATGAAAAAATAAACCTGGTTTAAACTTTGCACATTTCCTTCTTTTATGTTCATAATACAAATTATTAGCTCTAGAACGTTTTGAAATTTCTTAATTTCAGCTTCAACCAAACATGCAGGTTGTCTAATAGTTCTGAGTAAAAAAACATTTCTTTGTATGCACACAGTTCCCAAATATTGGCAGTCAAGCTATTTGTTCAAAACTGTTCCTGAACACAGTGATCTATTGATGTCTCCAAGTGGAGATTCCAGAACATCAAAGGTGTTTCCTTACTTCTCTTCCAATAGTAAAACAATGGGACTGAGACCATTGATTCCAATAAATGATGACCTCAGTGGGACGATGAAGTTAAATATTCCACTTGTTGCATGCTCGGCAGCCAAAATAATCAGCTGGTGGTGCCACCTCTCATCATTAGCATTTTTATATTTGCAGTGTGCACAGCTCTGGAGGGAAACAGATTTGTAAAAAATGAGTCCTTCAGATCTGGAATTTTAACAACTTTTACAAAATTTTTAAACTTAAAAAACAAAAAGCTTTCATTTTGTTCAATTGCATTTTTTCATTTAATAATTATTAGGAGTTATTTTATTTGTTAGAAAATGCTCGGCCAGGCAAATACTGATTGCTCTTTTTAATATTTTGTTATGCCACTGATAGAAGATGAACTTACGGGCCCCCACTCAAGACAACACAACTGTCTGGGCTCTGACATAATGTGGCAGTTTGTACGCCTGGATCCAGAGAAGATGGTCACAGGTGGTGGTCCTGTGGTCAGCCTGGTGAAAGGGAGTCAAAGATTTATTTTGTCCCATAGCATTACAGACAAATATGAGAGCTAGCTAGTTCAGGGGATATGGTTTTCAACATCCTTAAATAGCCTTGCTGTTATCAAAATGATCCTTGTGTCTTGCAAATGGCATCAACCGCCTCATAACCAGCATAAACAGGTGGGCCAAGTGATTGATTTACAATCTCCCATTATGACTATTCACTTGCATAAAGTAAAAATTAAATATAACCAACAGATTGCCATAGTCATTATTTAGTTTTTAAATCACACCGATATATTTTCTTCTAAAAATATAGTCATGCTGGGGTATAGAGACCAGATCATTAAAAAATAAACTAACTTTTCTTGTCCCATGTCTGTGTAGAACTGCAGGACCCTGCCGGCACCATGCCTGTGATCAACATTTCCTGTAAATTATTGGAAGAAATCAATGCAGATAAAATTAAATACTTTTTTTAAAATTATATTCCAATGAACAATTGTCCTCAATAAAAAATTTTTTTACACTCATACATTCAACTGAAGTCTTATTTATTTAATGTCTTTCTGTGTATCAAATCTATGTAACAACACTAGCCACGTAAAATGCTTGACAAAAAAATGAAATAACTTACTTAGTAACTCTGCCATAAAATATATCTTAAACTAATCAGGGAAACTATGCATTATATTATTTTTATTTCACAAAGATTTTTTTACAAATCTTTTAATGATAAAACGAACAAGCTAATAATAGTGATTTTTCCTGGAATATTTTACACTAACAAATCTCACAAACAAACTTGGTTTAAGACCTTTTAGCGTGCCCTACCTAAGTCTGGTGCACCCTTGTGTTCCTCATCCACACTCAACTCATCCCCTGATTTGTTCCCTTCATCTTCTTCATCCACCACAGGATCAATGACTTTCTCCTTAGGAGACTTGGGTTCCTCCACAGATAACAAAGGGACAGAACTAAAGCTAACTGTTCCTTTCTTGTTGGACGAAGTCTTCCTCAGCTTTCCACCATTCAGTTCACTTAATTTGAAAGCTGGTTCTGTCTGGTTACGAGCCATTCTGGTAATTTTTTCCCCCATGAGGCTGGTGATGGTGTCAAACACAGTCTCATCAGCATCTTCAGGGTTCATGGAGAGGTCGTTTTCATTGTGATATTTCTGTAAGGCCAGGGCAATTTGAGCTGTTGGGAGACCAAACTACAATAGTTTAGTATTTTGACATGAAACTTTTTCTTTAATAAAGACTTAGGTAAGAAAATTATGTTGTGAAACAAAATAAAAAGTTCTGCATTAAAAAAAGTTGCTTATAATTGTGAAGTAGAAATTCCTAGCATCACATCAACTGTAATTCTAGCACCACAAAACATGTCACAATCTGTATTAAACAAATTTTTAAAAATTTATTATTTAAAAGTTATGTCAAAAAAAAAAATGATTTTAGTGGTTTATTTAACTTTAATATAATGTAATGCTGAAAAGTTTCTGTTGAAAATTAGCTATGTTATAAGCCTATGGAAATCACTGAAAACCGTCCATAAACATTTGTATTAGTTAATAAAAGGATATATAATTTAGGTCAGTGTTTCTACATATATGATCTAGTATGTTTCTTTGTTTTCTGTTGGTTTTTGCAGAATTATTTTTGGAACGATCATAGAAGAGAAAAAAAAAAGCATTTCTAAAGCAACAATGCAGTATGGAGTCCATGTAGTGCAATGAACTAACAAAATTTCAGCGTATAATAAAACCTTTAAATATAGAATAAAATTAGGACCAAAAAAGAAACAAAAAAAAGTAAGTAACAGTGTGAGAAATATTTGCATATAAATATCAAATGGTCAAGAAACCTGTAATTATACCTTAAAGTAAGTTAATGCATACTTTCAACTAAGGCCAGCAATATTTTCTCAGAAATGAAGCATATTAAGATTATGAATAAATTAAGCACCAGGTCATGTCATCCTCTCAAGCCCCCCTCCCTTTCCAATTTAACTGATGTGACCTCCCAAAGTTATCCCTTTTACTGGCTAAGGTAAAAGCGAAATGTCATTTGGGTGAAAGCAATAAATAAAATGTGTAAAACTATAAATTAATTAATCAGTGCTGTGGGAGACATTAAATAATAATTTGAGAATAATTTGTGAATCATATAATTGTAAATATTACCATACAATAAAATAACAGTTATTGCTTTATGTATTGTGCTGAACCTTTTCTCATTTTTGTGTTCAAGTTGTTTTTTGTGTGCTAACATTTCCTTTAGTTTATTTGATTAAGTACTTATCTGTTTCCAAAATAATTTCATTATTGCATTTCTATTGATATCTGTTGTAGAGAATTCTAAAAGTACCAGCTAAATGTAGATATAATGATGATAAACTACAGGGAGAGTTGTTAAAAAGTATAACATCATAGCCCCACAAGCATCCATACCACATTTATTGGTAAATCCAGCAATACCAAAGGAGTTTAGGGCAGCATCCCTTGCTGAGACACACAAAATTATAAGTTAGCACAAAGAGAAAAATGCACATCACGAAAGTTAAGGTCTCGTTTAAACCTAAACAATAACTCAGAGAATTCTTTGTATGTTTTTTTCAGAGAAGTTTGAATAGGCTTATTTAAAAAGACACTTTATTCACAAACTGTTTCATTGATTTTTTAAAAAATGACTGATTCCCAGTTATGGAGAAAAATGCTATCAATTTTGCCTTAAACTGCAAGGCGTTAGAGATATTTTATTTCAAGTTTATTGTATTCAGCTTTCAAAAGCTTAAAAACAATCAATGTAAAGGTTAAGAGCTAATTTAATATCTTTTTTAAGTTACATTTTCTATGTGGAGTTACTATTGGTAAATAAAATTATTAAACAGATGGAAGAACAATCTCAGGAAGAACTAAATTTTAAAAATATATAAAAATTATAGACAAATTTAAGGCAAAATATGTTAAATGACAGGAAGTATTATATGTTAAGATATTTTGGTCCATTATTAAAGCAAAAGCTGTCCTGAATTCAAATTTCATAACTGCAATTTTTTTAAATTACTTATTTTAATTCTGCTTACAACTAGTCGTTATCTATTTTTTAACAATGGATATTAAATAAGTTTTATTTGTAGGTAAAATAGTACTAAGAAGTCTCAAAATGAAGTTTGATTATATAAAGATGTAATGTACAAGTTTAAGCTTTGAAAAAAATGTACAGAAAAGATCAAAAAATTTATACAGAGTCAGTAACCATTGACAGCAAACTTTTAGAGCAGCATCAATTCAATAGTTTAAAGCGTATAGGATTTATTAGACCCAAACCTCCATCACAACTTATTTAACCTTAAAATATTTAAAAATTATCCCAGTTAATTGAGAACACATCATTAAAACATTTTGGAAAAAGGAATATTAAGCAGGCCTATTCAGTTTTAATTTAGTCACAAAATATATGTATTCAATATGTGAGTTTTCTTTGAAATTATTTTCTCATAATTTATGGTCTTTTTTATTTTTAATGCAGTGCACCTTCAAATAACCTTTAATTTAAAAAAAAATTGTTTTTACATAGCTTGTCATCTCTGTCCACCGCATGGTTCAAATCATAGTAAACATTAGTTGTAAGAGGCATTGCTTTGCTCAAATTTGGTCAATGAACTGTTATTTTAATACAGCAATATTAGTAAACTCAACTGATTAATTTGCTAATTTTGATCCTTAAATATTTCCCCAAGTAAACAGTTGTCCTTGAAAAAAGAATGGGGCAATAAACTAGATTCATTGTTTACCACCATGCACACAAAACAGGAAGAATCAACCTAAACTTACCAAAATTTTCATTTTTTCTTCTGGGAACACTTTTTAAGGCCTCTGGGGAAATTTTAGAGTACTCTTCCCTTGTCACACTCATATAGAAACAAAAATCTTGAGCCTAAAATGAAAAATATTACTAAAAATTTCCAAAAAACTCAATGCTTATCCATTCAATTACATTGGGGAAAAGCAAACAACATTTTAATATTTTTAGAATTTAACTGTATTGTCCACATAGTATTTCAAAGGACAACACTTAAATTGACATGAATCTTTAAGAGGGAAAACATTGTGAAAGCACATACCTATTAGTTAATATTAGTGTTGTCTTTATTATTAAATTATACATTAAATATTATCCTTTGTAAGTTCACATATTATTGTCATGTGAATTTGTTGAAGAAGGCTTTTAGCCAATTTCTTTTTTCTGTGTTTTGTCATAAATAAAATTAAATATTCACCCATCCTGGTTACATACAAAATGTGTGACTTAAAAAAGTAGACTAAATGGATATTTGATAAAAAAAAGTTTGGACTGCCATAAAGCTTTTAAGCAGATTAATGAGACGCAAAAATTTGTGTAAATAAAACAAAATATATAAAGTTTTAATCATGGTTACACAAAATACAAATTTAAATGTTTCCACAAATGCCTTCATCAGTACAACAAAAATCATTCATATATGTATAAATTAAATTAACATAATTTTTTTTCTGTAGCTAAACATATATTGTTTATATACTATATACACTTACACAAATTGTCTCATTAATATATTTGATGAACTTTCATTAAACTTTTCAATCAAAATTATTTTTACTCCAGAGCTAATTCGTAATTAGCATGAGATTAACACTGAAACATATTTAGATGCAAAGAAAGAAAATAATAATTATAATAATAATAAATAAATAAATCACACCGCTGCTAACCTTAAGTTTGTACTGTGGACCAGGGTTAAGTTGAAGTCTGGGTGAGGCAGCATCACTGTCCAACACAGCCAGCAAAGCAACACCAAACCTGAAAATTTTCAGTTATATTCAGTTATTTATACAAATTCAATAAGACAATAAATGATTTCCGCTGTAGAAGTCATACATTCAAATGTTGTTTATAATTACTCTTGTCAAAATTATATTAATTTTTTGCACACGAGCCCAAATATTTATTTTTTTAGAATGTTAGACTTGAACACAACAGAATTATCCTCCAGTTAAACTTTTGCAGGTTGATTTTCTCATATTCTATAAAAAAAATAGAACTCTGATAAAAAAAAAATTGCTCATAGCTAGTTAACACCCCATTTACCTGTGATGAGCATCAGCTGAAGCCTTTGGGAATGTTTCCCCCACATATTCATTAAAGAAAACACTCTTCTGCAGTTGAATGTGGTAAATCTCATTTCCAGAATGGCGGCCGTAAACTTGCTGCCAGGGTTCTGGGGCCAAAAGGCCATCCCTGAGAACACAACATTTACCAATTGATTTATTGACTTTTTAGGCATAATAATGAAATATAAAAATGTGAATGAAATGTAATATTTAAGATAATGGAAATATTGGAATTTAATAAACTGTTAGGTTTCATTCATTAGAAAATGTTAGTTAAAAACTATGAATATTCATTTAAAATAAGTAAATATATTAACTGACCGTAACAAATATTTATGGTTTTATATAATTGAAGGTTTAGAAATGGTATAGCATTGAAAAAAACAAATTAACCTCAGATTTATTTGATTCGGCCATTAGCATTTGCAAGTAATACAGTAAATCAAACAAAAAACATGCCATATTTTAATCACAGTGGTTTAAGTATATTTTTTATTGAAATTTTGTTGATGAAGTAGCTAAAAATTAAATATTTATTATTGTAAGGAAGGATTAAAGCCAGTGATAGCATGTATTACTTGCACAATATTTAAAAATGTTTACATATCATATGTAGTGAATAATTAGGGAAACTGAAATTTAAAACATTCCAATTAATCAGGAGTTTGGATAAGAATAAGTCATGACAGTAATAAAATAGTAGAGCCTGTTTATCGTCCTGTATGTCATATTATTTTTATGCATTAATAATTTATGTACATATAAACGAGATATAAAACAAATATGTATCAAGTTTAAAAGACACTAACAATTTTAAGCAGGAATAATTGGTGGTGAAGAATTCTTGATTTCATTCATTCGCATGCAGAACTGAATAAAATGTCAGATGTTTACTTAATAGTTAGTGTAGCTCAGCTTTAGTGTTGGTTATAGTCAATAATGAAAGCAAAATTTTAAAAAATCTCTCATTTCCATTATAACTAAAAGGGGGAAATTTGAATTATGCAAAATAAGTTTTGGGTAAATCATTTATAAAAAGTTAAATAAAATCTCCTATTCTTTCAAAATTAATATAAGGCATTTTGAATTACATGCTCAGCTTGGTGTAAATAATTATGGACCTAGCTTTCAGTGATTTACATGCAAAAATGATGACAAAAAAGAAATGCATATACACACAATAATTCCTTAGTAAACTGAGTGAATATCTTCTCTAATTAATAAACTTAAGATTTATACAAGGGTGTCCAATACAATGTGCATAGCCAAAAATTAGCATTATGTTGATAAAAAATCAATAATGTGGACAGGTGTGATAACAAAAAATCTATACCTAAGTTCATTTTGAACAGATTTGAAATGCACTTTGAATGTTAGAAATTCCTTGCATGTTTAATTGGAGAATATTTTCCATTACAATAAAGTTTCTATTGTTTGCTTTGAGAAAAGGGCATGAGTGTTAAATTGTTAGACTAGCAATACATTTAAATTACTATATTTCTGGAAAAACACCAGTCAAGTATTTTTTGTAATTATGGGCTATTTTGGTTTTACTGTTAGTGTTTAAACATTTATTTCAAATAATGTATATCCAGTAGTATTACATTTTCACTATATTTTAATCATGATTGGGCTTATCTACCTTTCAACCTGTCATTTTATTATGACCACTTCTTTTACAGTAAAAAAACTGTCTTCTATTGATAACTTTCTATATTTAAACTAGAGCCTCAATAATAAGAGTTCACATGGCCTACAATTTCTTTTGTTTAAGATGTAACACTACTGTAAATACATTATGGGGTTATTACAACAGTGAGGGGAAAAAAACAACAATAAAATAAATAAAAACTTAAAATTGTCAGCACAAAGATTTAAAGATCTACAGTAGGCCTACAATTGATTTGAGATTATATTTCTTACAGTGGATCTGGCCTGAAAAAATGAGAAAACATTTTGGTTTAATATTAAAATATTTCTTAAAATGAAGTAGAATTCCAATCTGAAAAAAAATATTGATTTGATTTCCCTATTTTTGGGATAAATAACAGGGTATTTGATTTTTGTTTTGTTTTGGTGCTCCTTATATCAAACAAGACATTGTTAGGCAAATTGCTGCACCTTGATTTCTATAACACACATTTTAAGCCCATTTGTTATTGCGAAGTAGCTTTAAGAAATCTCTCTGAAAGATAAAAACATTTTAACATGTGATTCTTTATGTTATAATATTTTAAACAGTTGAGATCTGCTGACTGCAATGGTTTTAAAAAATGAAGGTCCCTTTTTTAATGAAAAAAACATAAGTTTGATTGTCAGACAAGTATATTTTAAATTTATTTATGGTAGAAAATTAATAAAATATATGACATCTCATTCTGGAACTTGTCTCATTTCCTTGCTGAAAAAAGTCATAGTAAGTGGAGAACAAATTCATAGTAAGCAGAGAACAAAATTGTGTTGACTAATTATTTAGTATATTTTGTTTTATTTTATTTTTATATTGATACAACAAATACAACCCTGAAATTAAAATAGAATTCATATGGAGTGTTACCTTGAAAATAGCATTCAAATAGTATGATGTTTACTGAGAAATGCACACTCAGTATTTTTGCATTTGATGACAATAAAAGTACTTGATAAATATTTTATTATAACTCGTGTAATACCCAAACCAAGCATTTTAAGTTTTCCCAAAAAATCAAAAGCAAGCAGTGATAATAAATTAGTTCTCTCTGTTTTGGGAATGTCAGGTCCAATTATTTGCCTGTGTGAACATATGATTGTCCAATAAATTTTTTTAATCTAGTTTGATGTGCCTGCACTCACTAATCACTCCCCATTAATGGGGATCAAATCAGATTATTAGATATATATTTCATTACAATTTTACATGGCAACTGTTTTTATTAACATCAAACAAATCACATGAAATTCACTTAGTATTGCAATTAATAAGGAGAGTATTTATTTTCTATTTGTTTAATGCACTAAACATTATAAGTGTGACCACAATTTAATGAAATACATTTCATGCAAATTAACATGGAATTATTTTTTATGCATCCAACAGTAGTTATAAAATATATATATTTATTATGTTTCTACTTCAAAACACATACAATTATTTTTTTAAATTTTTGTGTGTTCTTTGCCTATGGCTTATCAGATAATGTTTGTTTTTTCCATCATTTCTGCTGATTTTTTAAATAAACTTTTTTTTAAAAATTGATACATAAATATTTGAATTGGACATATTACATAACTTTCTACTGATATCTCTAATTATCAACAGATTACTAGCATCAAAGCTATTCTTTTAAATCCAATTTTAAAAAGCAACTATCAACACTAAACGTTTTTAAAAATCTAAAATTTTAAGAGCTATTCCTAAATTAGTAAACATGCTTAAGTTAGTAGAAAAAACCCTGAAGCATTACAATCCACTATTTGAGTCTAACCTGCCAATGTCAAACTATTTCAAGCTTACCGAGAATTCCATTTTAGTGCCGATAGAACTCTTTACAAAATTATGGAAAGGAAAGTTGCTTTGGTGAAATTCATAGAATTTTCGTTAATTAAGTATATCGGACAAGCTAAATATAACTATAACACGATAACTGATGATTTTCCTAAATACTTATTACTTTTTTCTTATATTGAAATTACGACTGTGTTACTAGTTTAATTTTATTATATTTTTAATATATTATAAAGAATTTAATTCAATTATAGTTTTTAAAAGGCAAAACAAAGATCAATTCAAAATATCTGTGCTAGGACAGATTCTCAGTCTAACCATGCTTTTAACGTGCATTTTGTTTAACTGCTGAAGTTCATGCTGCTGCTTTCTATAATTATGAATCATTGGTGCCAATGGAAGCAAGTAGGAATAGAAGGGACAGTTTGAACAACTACCTTAAAAGGTTTGTTTCATGAATTGAGTTACATATAAAATATAGATAAACTGACATTAGAACAGACTGTTTATTAAATTCACTTTTTTTTTTTTTAAATACTGCAAGAAAAATAGATTGAGCAAAAATGAATATAGTCAGCAAGATTGGTCAGTACTTTTATTCATTGCTCCAACATAGGAATGATAACTTATGGGCATGGGACTGTTTGAAAATATTACTAGAAGAAATATTTGACCATTAAACTTTGTAAGGTTAAATAAATCAGAGGCCTCGATATTATGAGGGGGNGGGGGGGGGGGGGGGGGGGGGTTAGGGTTTATTCCTCCCTAAGTTGTCAATGGTGATTTTATTCTCAAACCCTTGGAAAATCTCTAGTCTAGCCTAAAGTAACTAGCTTACTGAATTAAATTATGATAATTAATAACCATTTGCATAATTGATTATCAAGTGTGGCACTCCAGCTTTTGAACATGGGCCAGACATCACCCAGACTCTGTGTCTAAGACAGGGTTTTGAATTTATTATTAATTCAATTCAGTTGACGTGCTAACAGGCACATGCAAGAAGAAAGGGTTTTGTCAGGCAAATTACAATATACACAAGAGAATCATTGATCAAAGTGTAGAGAGAAAGATTCATCCTTTTGTCAAGTGAAGTATTTAAGCTTTGGAGATACTGCTAGAACTTGATAATATTATAGTTGGAATGAAAGAAAATAAACAACCTTGACCCACCCATAGACGCTGGAAATGACAGGCAATATCCTGACAAGAAAACAGGGAAACTATTTTGTATCATTAAGCAACAAATATTTTGATTTACAATTTTTTGTTAATTATTTTTTTAACATAGATAAAAAAAACGATAAAATTAATTTTTAAAATGTCCTAAAATTGTTATACTATAATTATGAATCTTAATAATTTGAATTTCATAATTTTAATCCTTTTTTTTATATTTTACATTTTATTTTGAAATATTAAATTTGCTTTCGGCGTAATTGTTTTGCTAATTCTTATATAATTAGTTAATTAACTTTTTTATTTTCAGTATCAAGCAATAAAAAGATTGATGTCAATTTAATTAAATTGTATGAATAGAAACCATTTTAAAAGCATAACTATTTTCCTTTTTTTAAAAAAATCTAATATAATTTAGGATACACATAAAAAATAAAATGTCAACTTTGGCTAAAAATAGTTTAAACAAAGTAAAGTTAATATAATTTCATAGGTTCCTGTAACGTGTCATAACAATTTTATTTTAGTTATTTTTTTTAATTCTTCTATCAAACACATTATATCTTAGATAATGTGAGAGTTTAGATGTTATAAGATCCATTATTGAAAGTTACAAACATTATTAAACCCCTAATTTATAAAAGAATACGTATTTTCAGCATTTTGCAAACCGCAATACAAATAATATCAAAACCAGGGTATGCTACAGAAAATATGCCACATAATGTTTTTGTCAGTGATTAAGACAAATGATCCAAATATTTCTACTGCTCCAGACTGAACTCTAGACCCCCAGTCCAAATTCAGCTAAAACCACATCTACACATGGTCACCAAGTACCATTTAGCCTTTATTTTTTGGTAAAGCATAAATCATTTATATAAATAAATAATAAATTTGTAAGCCAGCCAGAATATGACTAGTAGCCTATTAAATTTATAACAAATATCAAACATCTCACCCACAATAGTATTTAAAAAATTGTTTTTACTCCTCAAACCAGCTTATTTTACTATATTGTTACACATCATTATGGTAGAATTTGACTGCCGTTGGTAACAAAGAGAGGTCCGCTGGGGCGAGCATATTAACAATGTATGTAACCAAGCAAACAAGACCCTGGGGTTCTTAAGGCGAAATCTAAAGATTGTCAACTACTGTGTGAAAGAAATAGCATATAAAGCCTTTGTCTGTTCGGTTTTAGATTATGCATCTTCAGTCTGGGACCTTTTACCCAGAAGAGCGTTGACAGGTTGGAGGCGGTCCAGCGACGAGCAGCACGCTTTGTCCTAAACCGCTACAGGAATACCTCTAGTGTTGGCAGCATGCTGGAAACACTAGGCTGGTCACTATTGGAGGAATGACGAAGACTTTCCAGGCTCACCATGATGTACAAGATAAATAATGGGCTGGTCCAGTGTTCCAGTATTAAACAGAAACTCGTCCCTCTCCCCCATAGACAGCGAGGAGGCCATGACAGGCAATTCAGGCTCATACCAGCAAGAAGCCAGTACAACCTTTCAAAAAGGAACGGTTGAGGCGACAACACTAGACACATTTGTGTCTATTGCCTCAAGCATTCAAACGCCCAGTGCATGATTCCCTCACAAAGTGGCACTGGAAATCAGTGAAATTTCCTCATCAACACCAGGAACAGAAACATTGCAAATCCCATCTACATGCATAGGAGCCAAAATGATCAATAAATTGTGGGCCCTTAAGATATAGAAGAAGAAGAACTGTTGGATTTGATTAATTAATTAATTTAATTAATTTATTTATGTTTTATTATTTATTTATTTTTTGCGGTGTGGGGTAGATAAAAATGTATCATATTTCTTGGCGTTAATATGGAAAAAGAATGGCAAATGCAAGTTTCTAAATGGTTTTTTTCTACCAGGAAGTTGCAAATATTAAAAGAAAATTAATTTGACATTGGAATTTGAAAATTATTAAATTTAATTTTAAAAACATTTTACAGTTACAAAATATTTAGAAATTAAAAGCTAAATTACAAAATAAATTAAGCAAACCTTGTCCTATTTGAGAAAAAAAATGTGTAATATTATTTCAATGCTGATATATATCTAAGTGTTCATAAAATAAAATGACATACTAAAGTATTATTTCTACTTACTGTCCAGTAGATGTATGCACCAGCAAGGAAACAAGGGTGGACAAACCAGGGTACAAGCAGTTGTTAGCCAATAAAGCATACTTGAATTCATCTTCACAAACAACATGTTCTGTACCAGAGGGCAATAAACAAAATAAATGAGAAGTTTGGTTATTTTGAAAAGATTACACCCATGAAATGAAATGGTGATTTCAAAAATTAATGACAGACTCAAAGGTTGCTGCTGTTTTGGGGGGGGGGGGGGGGTTGTGCGGCAATCTATCACTATTATACTTTTAATTACCGCATATGCTCGCATATAAGCCGCATTTAGAACTATAAAATACAATACTGAAATCAGGGGGTCGGATTATATGCACATAAAACAAAATGGACACAAGGACAGACACTAAGGCGAATTTTCCAGCCACACATTTTCATCTCTATCTGACTCTTTATTTGGTTGTGTGTTTAGAGTACTAATATAGATCTACATATATATACAGAGGTGTCACTTCAAAGAATTTAATGTATGCATAGCTGATAATTACACTGAGTATGAATATTAGCCTGGAGAATTCATGTTCGAAGTAAAAAAATGGCATAAAATTAAGAAAAAATACTTAAAAAAAGAAAATGTTTCCTATGTCCATGGTTTCCTAACTAATACTCTATACGCAAATGCATAGAATAAAGTGAGAGTGACACGACCGCATGGCTGTGTGTGCACCAGTGGTGTGCTGCAACCAAGCTAGAGCTAGCAGTGAATTATAAACAGAAATGTGATCGTTTTTTGTGAATAAATAAAACAACAAAAGAATTTTCATCTTTATTCATATCAAAATGTATAATTTTTTCTAAATATATACTTCGTTAATCATTTGTTGTGAAAAATTTATGAGCGGAAATTTAGACATTATTATAGCAAACAATGTGGAAAGAGCAGAACACGTTTTTGTGTCATTCCAAAAGGTAAACAAACTGGTGTGTAACATAAAAGCATTTTACATCTTTACAATAACAAATTTCTATGAACCAAAAATATGGAGTAAAATGAGACAATTGTATGGTCGCTTATATGTGGGTATTTGCAAAAACTGGCCATTTTAAAGCAGTTTTAGGGAGTAGGCTTATATGCGAGTATATACGGTATGTATAAATTACAATACAATATTATATATATACTACAATATTATATACCACATTATAAATAATATACATAACAGAGAGGATGAAAAATATAAATTTAATGAATAGGAAAACCTACCAGCAAACTTTACATGAATTTTGTTGGTTGCCTTAAAGAGCTGGATGTATTGTTTACAGTTGGGAGCAAAATCTTTCACAGCCCAGGACCTCAGTATGGTATGGCGATCCTTTTAGGATAATTCAATAACTTTTTGTCAAATACTTAATGATGAAGTCAAAAAAAATAAAACAAAAAGTCAATTAAATATTGTAAACGAATGCAGGTTTCTTACAACAGGTTTGATGTGTATGTTGCCATAATCTTAGTGAGCAACATAATGTGTAAACATATTAAACATAGTTATATGAATTGTCAATAAATTTTAAAAATCTATTAAAAGGAATATCACAAAGACACAGTTACCTACAATTATGGTTTCAAAAATTTAATCTGATTTTAGATTTGGCTCACAGAATAAAAAATACTAAACAAAGGACTGAGACAAACAGTATGCAAAGAAAACCATACCAAAGCCAGTGATGATTCTTACAATATTCAATTTAATTATACTATTAAATTTCTATACAAATTAAAATTTGAATACAGAAACAAAAACTTAAATACAGCATAGCAAGTGAAAAGGTACACTCCTCAAAAAATACAAATATTAATTTACTCACACACAATTATATAATGTCTCATATATGTTAGGAAATATACCAAAAATCTCTCTGCTAAGAAACCTGCAGTCCTTTATAGAGGGATTAAATCAGATTGAAGAAATTCTAGAAATTGTGTCAACTTCTAACATTCTTTACAACAAATTAAACGCATTTGAACATAATCTTTTGCCAATCAAGGGCGGGGTGGGTAAAGAATGACAGAGCACATCTACTTGGTGATTCCAGCATCAACATACATGATGGGGAGATAAGTGGTATTGGCTAAAAATAGCTCCACGTTGAAGTGAAAAAAAAGGCCAAGACATACCAGGCTATACTATAACAACACCAATACATAATGATTATTTTTGACAGAGATTAACTTCAAAACAAAGAAATTTAAAAGCATATAAGAACATATCTCATTGCTTAGTTTTTTGCCGACCCTTGACCCCCTGTGGGAAGTCAAGCTGAAACGTGGATCAATAAATAAATAAAATATCAAGCAAAATACATTACTTATGCGTTAACCAAATACTTACAGCCTTAGTCTTGTCTTGGGCTGGCCGTGGTGCCAGGAAGAAACAAGCGTCTGCCTGGTGAACACGGCAACGCTTTAGGTCAATGTCCTTTAGAGATGAACCTCGCATGTAGATGACCCTGTGCGCCCATTTTGGGTCCTTGAGAATGACCTGCTTGTTGCTGTCAAGCTCTTGAGGACAAAGGAGGATAACTGTGTGTTCCTTGATAGAAATAACATAAGGGCTTTTTTTGTTGACTGATGGGACAATAAAGTTGATTTAATAAAGTAAAAGTTAAACAAAAACAATTAAATAAGACCATTACATCAGTTGATCCAGAGTAACAATAGTTAGCTGATATGAATAGTTAAGTTGACACATTTAATCAATTCTCTATTGCCTGGTTTTCACAAATAACAAAGAAAAACGGACGGAGGTGGTGATCTTTACAAGTATAAACACACTTCAAGCACGCGCTAAATCTTAAACTAATAATTTATACATTTCATTTTGGGTGTTGACCATTTTAAGTAAATATTTTTTATGTTGAATCAATTTCTTCTAAATTTAATATCAATAATTTAAATATTTAATATTTAATGACAGTTTCTACATTGTTCAAATGAAAGCTTTTTCCAAATGAGAAAGTTGTCATATTTTTATCACCTCTAGTTTAGGATGTGCATAAAATTCATTGAGAAAATCCATCAATGTGTCCTGAATCAGGGCACTGCTGCAGACAATGACATGCTTGTTACGCTGGGCTGCCCGTTGGCTGTATTCACCTCCTGCCTTCTGTCGTTCCATGTAAGTTGAAACAAGCCCCTCAATCTAAAAAAGAAGAAAGTAATACATGCTAAATGCAATCATTCTATAATTAATGTTTTTGTAATTTATTGGAATACACTGCGCTTATTTCACTTATGATTTTGGAAGGAAGAGTTTGAGAGGAGGGGGTGGCATCTCTAAAATTCATCATTTACTTAAAAACATCTAGCAAAAGAAAACAAGTGATAAATGTGCAAATAAAATTATTTTAATACATTCAATATAAAGAGGATTTTCAAAAGAAAATCATTTAACACCTGCCACAGATCAAATTAACCCTTAAAGAACAGTGAAGCACTCACATGTCGAGGAATTGAGGCAAACGCCACACAGATCATTATAATTGTGAAGAGTCGCCCCAGCCATATATCTGGTGAGATATCGCCATAGCCCACAGTTGAAAATGTCACGATGACAAAATACAGAGATTCAAACATGGTCAGTGGAGTTTCTTTACTCGCTCGCTGAATGTGCTGGATAAAACAAATACTGTATTTGGAATGAAATAAAAATAACTACATTAATAACAGAACATTACTTTATGAAGTTCTAATCTAGAGATGAATGCTTATAGGATAAACTTGATGTTTTTTTTTAAATTTAAAGTACTAACTTTAATTAAAACATTGTGACATTAAATTTTAAGACCGCATGGAAATCAAACAATTTATATCCACATGGAAATTTATGTCAGTCAATGATCAATAGAAAATTAAAAAGATGATCCAAACTGTAAGACATGAGGTAAAACAAGAAATTTAATCAAAATTCTATTGGTTAAGTACACCTGGAGAGAACAAAATTAAGTGGTTATTTAAGCTCTATAGGGTATATAGTTCAGTGCATTATAAATTTATGTTTTGTTGACATCAATAATTATGTGAAATTAAGCTCCATAAATGTCTTTAAATTGATTCTAGAATTTTGGACAAGAGCACAGTGAGAGAGTATTGGGTAATATTTATCGGTTTTAGGGAGTATGGGGCACATTGTCACTGGTTTCAGGGAGTATGAGGCACATTGTCATTGGTTTCAAGGAGTGTGGGGCAAATTGTCATTGGTTTCAGGGAGCATGGGGCACATTGTCATTGGTTTCAAGGAGTATGGGGCAAATTGTCATTGGTTTCAGGGAGCATGGGGCACATTGTCATTGGTTTCAGGGAGTATGGGGCACATTGTCACTGGTTTCAAAGAGTATGGGGCACATTGTCATTGGTTTCAGGGAGTATGGGGCACATTTTCATTGGTTTCATGGAGTATGGGGCACACTGTCATTGGTTTCAAGGAGTATGGGGCACATTATCAATGGTTTCGGGGAGTATGGGGCACATTTTCATTGGTTTCAGGGAGTATGGGGCACTTTGTCATTGGTTTCAAGGAGTATGGGGCACTTTGTCATTGGTTTCAGGGAGTATGGGGCACTTTGTCATTGGTTTAATGGAAGATAAGCCATTAACCATTTTTTTAAAGAGTATGGGGTTATTGCTAGTGATAGAAAGAATTTATTAATATTTTTACTTTAAGAGAGTTGATCATTTTAAAAATGTTTTAAACTCTTGAACAACTACTCTGAGGACCAGATGGACTTACTTGATAAATACAAGACACATGACATTGACCACAAGAATGACCATTTGTTGCAATAGTGTTACTGAGATGGTCTGAAATCTTTGCCTTGTGAGGTGAAGGTCATTCTGAAAGTAAGATTGTTGTTTTTGTTCTGCTCAACCCCAGGAATACCTAAGTCACGTAATATAATTGGGTGATATAAGCAGAGGTATAGGCAGTGTGGTGCGGAGGGGTTGTCTACCCTGGCCAGCATCTTTAGCTTTACACAGAGGCATGGCATTTTTCAGCCAGACTTTTTTTTTTAAGAAAAAGGGGCTGGGTGCAAAAAGCCTGGCCAGTCCTGGGCGGCACAACCCTTAGTTATGTATGGCACTGAACAAAAGCAGCAAGTGCTAATGGAACTTTGCTCAGTTAAAACACAACCTGTCATACCATCTGTTTAAATTACATAATTATCACCCAGAATAAAAGATGCACTCCCCTTAACTGGTATAAAACAGTGAAATAATAAGTTATGTCGAATTTTCTTGAAAAAAATGGAAGAATAGATACTTTTGTCTAAGTATGGTAATATTTTCAATAGTTTATATCTGAGATCTAAAATTCTTAAATAAGCTACTATAATATTTAATTGACTACCTAATAGCTAATTATATAAATTCTCCATAAAATGTACGTGCTACTAGCCGGGTGCTACAGCCAGCTCAATCTGTCTGGGATGAACCGTTTTAAATTTGGACAATGCAAACAAACCAGTTGTTGATAATGACAAAATATTATACAAGCAAAAAAAAAAAAAAAAATTCCAAAAAAAATCAGACAAATCCAGCTAAATCTGTCTGGGATGAAACGTTTTAAATTTGGACAAAGCAAAAAAACAAGTTGTTGATAATGAAAAAATATTATACAAGCAAAAAAAAAAAAAAAAATTCCAAAAAAAATCAGACAAATCCTGAGCCTGTTATTACTTGATTGGCAGCACACCACTGTAAGCCACATACATCAGCAAGACTTTGATAATTTATCAACAGCCATACAACTTCACGCAATTTGAATGAATTAAAAAGCAGCACTTCAATCGTAAGAAATGCAGTATGTTACTAGATTTTATTTATTTATTTTTTTTAATTTGAGGTGTTGGGGTGGTGCTATAAAAAATACTATAAAATAGAATCAATACAGCCAGCACTTACATAAATTTTCTCTAGTGATCTCTTTGCCAGCCAACAGTTAAGAAAGACAGGAACAAACAGATCCTTCATTACAGGTGGATAAGTTAACTGGAATGGAAATCAATGAAATGTTTATGATACCATTCAATGCCTGACAATTAACTTTGTTATAATCACACATAAATTTATTTCAGCCAGAAACTGAAAAAAAAAACTAATATAACATTTATAAAATAGCACAGTTTTACACAGTGCTGAGAAAACTTACTGTTATCAACATGGGTGCTGAACAGCAGACCTCAAGGACAAAAGTGAAGGTCAAAATTTGGTCCATACGATGCCCCTATATAAAAAAATTAAGAGAAAACTTTTAAAGATGATATTGGTAAATGGAAAAAAGAAAGGCCCATTGCATGGCTTAAAAAAAAAACAGGGCCGGCCCTAGACATTTTTAGGTTTGGTGAAAATAGGCAATGGTCGCCCACTGGAAAATTATGGCAACAGTTCAGAAAAAAAAAACTTATGAAAATAACTACTTTAAATTAATTATGTCATGTCTATAAAATTTTGCACTGGTAAAAATAACTTACTCTTGTTGCTATGTAGACCATAAGCAGAGCTTTAGCCAAAGAAATCCAGGCAAGTGCCACTTCAACACCCCATATGGTCCAGCTACGGTGAACCCACAGCAGAACATACCTGTATGAATACAAAATGTGTCTTTATACCAAAATTTTAGTAAAGCAATGCAAAGAATGCTGTTTAAGGCTTTAGAATTTTAAAATGATTTGTAGGCTACTTTTGCAGATATGAAAATATATAATTATCAGAAAACAAGCAAACAATTCAAAACTTATTAAGTTTACCAGTTAACCTCCCCTGCAGTAGCAAATAAAGCATCTCTGGATTTATTGGAGTTGTCACTCGAACAGGGTGACCCAGAACTAGAGAATAGAAATCAGATGACATACGAAAGTTTAATAATAATTTTTTAATTGTACAATATTTTCTCAAATCTAATGTCTATCATTTTTATGTACCGAAAATTCAATTAATCTGTTCCTGCTTTAAAAATATGGTATTTTGAAATATTTTAAGTTTTTTATATAATGAGAAATGTAACATTGTATCTGAACTAGCAGCCTCTCCATGTTTTCAACACTGTGTTTTGGTCGCACATTTTTTAAGATGCATTATGGCAATTATGAGAGTGTCTAAATTGTGTGATAAATTTGTGATGATTTTGAAAAATAGGAGGGGGGGGGGAGGTCCAAATTGGCCAAAACAGTGTGAAATCATTTATGGATGGCTCCTGTGAGCATATTAATTATTTTTTCCTAGAGGAAAAATTCTAACATTCCCATTGGTTTATGTGAAGACAAAAACACACCACTGGACCTGGACATCAAAATAAAATTGACTGTTCATGTTAGTTTATGTAGCAGGCCTGTTGTAGAGTCAGAGCTTACCATTCATATTCTTTGATTTCATCAAGTGAGACTCGGGCCACATACATTGAACATATGATTGTCTTTAGGGCCAGGTCGAAAAACGTACATGCTAGGCCTGAAAGATATACAGCAAATTTATTGGGTAAATCTTACACATATCAAAATCAATAATGAATGATTAGCAGCTCCTTTACTTTGATGTTCCATACGAGAACCGATTTAGTTCACGTGACTCAATATTTTTCAAAGCAATAATATTTCAATCCAGAGTTGCCAAAAGGTATACAACTTTTTCAACGAAACAAATCCCACCACACACACACACAGAGAGAGAGAGAGAGAAAGAGAGAGAGAGAGAGAGAGAGAGAGAGAGAGAGAGAGAGAGAGAGAGAGAGAGAGAGAGAGAGAGAGAGAGAGAGAGAGAGAAACACACAATAGATACAAATAAGTTTTCCCTACAATATTTTTAGACTCTTATTAATTTATGCCTTATAAGTTTATTAGGCCTATAAGATTTTTTGGATAACCAATAATCTCTATACAACCAATTTTAATTATTTCGTGGATTCTAATCGTTCATATTATTCCACAATTTAAAAAACAAAAATCTAAAGAGTGTTAGACTATAAAATAAATATAAAGGAAAAAACAACAATTTAAAACAAATACAAATTGTAATGAGTATTATCTTTTCATCAAACGTTTTTAGTTACATGAGGTTAACAGTTGCACCCTTTTTTGTGTGGTCTGGCTACCAATGACCCCCCACCCACCCTTTTTGTATGTGTATGCATAGGCGCCCGCAGAAAACTTTCTAGGGGGGGGGGGGCAAAAAATCGATTAACTTTCTAGGGAGGGGCAAAAATTGTTAGTAATGTTTTAATATAGTTTTAATTTACTGTAGCCTATTTGTATGGTGAACGAACGGACAGGACATCAGCTTAGTTACTTTCTCTTTATTTTCTCTTTACTTTAATAAATTTTGTGTCTATTTTTGTCTAAAAATTTTTTATCCAATCAATCGGGGGGGGGGGGCAAGTGCCCCCCTTGCTCCTACCTGCGGGCGCCCATGTGTGTATGTCTACCAATGACCCCCCCCCCCCCCCTTTCTTGTGGTATGGCTACCAATCACCCCCACCCACCCGTTTTTATGTGATATGGCTACCAATGACCCCCCCCCCAAACCCCTTTTTTCAAAATATTTTTACGTATAATCCTGAACCAATAAATAAATAGCCCATGGCTACCAAGACAACTGCCAGGCAGGATGAGTTATAACTTATAGTTTTAGTCGTTGAGGCAACCGTGGCAATAGGATCTGAACTGTGATCAAAGAATCGCTTCATTGACACGACAATGGCATGTTTGTTTCAGCACGACAATGCAATGTTTGCCGAGGAAAGAAATGGATGCGGATGCACAGAGAGTAAAAAGAAATGGCTCATTCAATTCCCCCGAATGTCAACATGGCCACTGCATTACATCCGAGGAGTTTGAGGATAAAATTAGATGAAGTGCTCTCAGCCATGGTGGCCATCCTTAAATGACGTCACGCATAGAAAGGTGAGGGGGGCACAATTTGTGACGATGTGCGATAAGGGAGGGGAGGTTTAAAAAAAAAAAAGGCCGAAATAGCCCGACGCCACTTATAACGTGCCCCCCTAGTTATAGCTCTATAAATTTACTGTCCCCGTATATTATCCTAAATAAATGCATTTTTACAATACAAGTTTTAACTTGCATCACTTGAGGACGTATTAAAAAGTTTAAACAGAACATCTGTCTCTGTAAATGATTTGTGCATTGTCGAAATTAGGGTTATTGCCGTTAGGGGTGGGACAATAATTTTTCCGCCCCCACCTTCATCCTCAGGTAAAAAATCAGCAGTTGGTCGAAAATGTCACACCTCAAATATCAATTATAGAAGATAAAAGGCACTGCCCCCTCCACCAACCCAAGCCAATGGATTCGTGTTCATCTATTATTTAATGCATGCTGGGGTTTATTTCAGTAGCTCTAGATTCAGAATTTCGCGTGTTTCCGACCAAGAGCAGCGAAACATGTCAAAGTGGTGGTGGTGGTTGGGGGGGGGGGGGGGGGGGGGGGGGGGGGTGTGGGGGTGTGAATACGTCCAATTGACTGCTATGGTCAATTAAATAGTGCAAAACGTTGTTCGTAGTCCAAACATTGAGATAGATATTTATAACTTCATTTTCTCATTCTACCTCATCGAGCTACCAGGGCGGGGCAAGCAGAATCTGCGCCCAGGACAAAACCTGAATTTAGGCGCCCACTGAATAAAAAGTTTGAGCTATGAAAACTGGTGTTTTTGCATAAAAATTGACGATTATGACACCCTCTTATGATGGCACCCTGGGCGGGTGCCACAATCCAACCCCCACGCACGGATCTGCCACCTACAGAAAATTTATATAAAAGCATAAACTTGGGACGAGCTACACAAACTCAAACACACACAAAAACGGTTTACGCGGGAGAACCTACCTAAGCCAAGATAAGATCAAATGAAATTATTCAAATAGAGGTAGGCCTACTAATGATTAAGAACTGCATTCAATTTTACTCACGTGTAGACGAGTTTCGTATAAAAAATCTACGTAGTCTTCCTCTGAAGGACAACTCGTGGGTGAAATATTTGACTGGGGCAGATCTGGGGAGAGAATGTGTGGACATGGTCACTGGTCATGGTTTGAATTGATTACAAGTTTGTTTTTTTTCCCTGCCCCGTGGTCACAGTTTTAAGGAAACCGTTTCGCTTCGGTGCTTTAGGCGTCATTGGTCATTTAGAGATATGACCTCTGACCCCACAATCTATATTATTTGGTGCCCTCTGTGCTCTTAATGCCTAGAGAGCAGGCGGACAATCGGTTGACACACACACACCCCAACAAAAGCTATAGGGACACGAAAACCCCCTGGTTAAAACAACAACACTGTCAGCCATTGCTTTTGTGAATGTTTTGTTTCTCCTTTCTTCTTTCCCTTTCCACCATCGTGTAAGTTGCTTAAAACAGACAATCCAGCACACATTTGTCATATATGGCATATATTACGTTCGTCTATCCCATACACATATATTGTATATATTTCGTTATTATATCCAATATAACATATATTTAAATTGAAACTATTCCATAGACATATCTATTCAATGAAACTATCCAATAGTCATATATATTCCCTGAATCTATCCCAATTAGTTATCTGTTCAATGATATATATATTACAGCTAACTATCCCATAAACATAACATATCTCTTCTGACCCCACGCAGACACTATCCCAATCCCTTGTGCATAGCTAACTTGCCACGCACCGATACATACCAACTCCTTGAACCTACCTATCTTAGCGCCATAAAACTATTATACCTGACCCATCCATACTTTCAACCGACTTGTCCTATTCACTAATTTATATTAGTCCACAACCTACCCCCCCCCTAATGCATTCACAATCCATCCATCAACATATCCACAACCTACCCATCCACAGCCGTATCCACATTGTATGGATTATCACTGCTGTCCGATTCCGAATCAGAATTTAGCCCGTACACGTCCGTCACAATCTTTTCCTCTAGTCCGTCCATCGTGCTAAGACTAAGAAGGTAAGACCAGGTCCTACTTTACGCACACCTGGGCCAGGTCCTACTTTACACACACCTGGGCCAGGTCCTACTTTACACACACCTGGGCCAGGTCCTACTTTACACACACCTGGGCCAGGTCCTACTTTACACACACCTGGGCCAGGTCCTACTTTACACACACCTGGGCCCGTCAAATGTCAACTCCTCTCAAAATACTTTTCTCATCTTTGGGTCATCTCAGAATGTTTTGTCTTTAGGCTCGGTTTGGAAAAAAAAAATGTAATCCTTTGAATGAGCTTAGGGGGGCGAATTCGCTTTAAGAAGCTACGTCGATCGTCGTTGTTTTCTTGAGACGTTGAGCTTTCATTGTTAAAGGAAAACGTTTCCCAGTTCGACAGTAATCACATTTGGTTACGAGGCATGGCTACGCGACACACGATCCTTGTCCAGAGATATGGTGGCAACAACTGGACCGTGAAAAATGATCGCCCGTAGCTCGCGCGCACACCTATTGAAAAATTTAACAACAAAAGAATGGAAGGTAGGTTGTGGGTAGGGGTGGGTAGGGAGTGTGGGGTAGGAAGTGAGGGTGGGGTGGGGCAGATTTTAAAAAAAAAAAAAAATTTTTTTTTGAGATGTTATGTCGGGGGAAGATGAATTAGATCTATGTTTCAATATGTGAAATATGTCCAACGTCATCTCGTTGTATGCCTGGTTCGGAGAGTCGGAAATTAATCTCTTTGCTAGTTCTATTTGTCGACCAATTTAAAGTTTTGAGATTTTTAATTTTAATTTCCCGTATGACATCATCTGGATGTTTAAATTTCAACAAATCCTAATGGACTGAATTTGGGAGTTTTCAATGTCGCAAAAGCGTAGCAGAAGTGTGTGTAACATTGGAGGTTTGCGTCAAGAGGATGAGGTATTTTATTGGGGAGTGGGGTGCATTATGATGAAACTGATTATATCATTCAGTAAAATATTGCTGTCTTCACGCTGAATGGATGTAGCACTAAAAGAGATAATCTAGATAAGCAGATATTGAGATAGTCTAGGTAAGCAGATATTGAGTTAGTCTAGGGAAGCAGATATTGAGATAGTCTAGGTAAGCAGATATTGAGTTAGTCTAGGGAAGCAGATATTGAGACAGTCTAGGTAAGCAGATATTGAAATAGTCTAGGTAAGCAGATATTGAGATAGTCTAGGTAAGCAGATATTGAGATAGTCAAGGTAAGCAGATATTGAGATAGTAAAGGTAAGCAGATATTGAAATAGTTTAGGGAAGAAGATATTGAGATAGTCTAGGTGAGTAGATATTGAGATAATCTAGGGAAGTAGATATTGAGATAGTCTAGGTAAGCAGATATTGAGATAGTCTAGGTGAGTAGATATTGAGATAATCTAGGGAAGTAGATATTGAGATAGTCTAGGTAAGTAGATATTGAGATAGTCTAGGTAAGTAGATATTGAGATAGTCTAGGTGAGTAGATATTGAGATAGTCTAGATAAGTAGATATTGAGATAGTCTAGGTAAGTAGATATTGAGATAGTCTAGGTGAGTAGATATTGAGATAGTCTAGGTGAGTAGATATTAAGATAATCTAGGGAAGTAGATATTGAGATAATCTAGGGAAGTAGATATTGAGATAGTCTAGGTAAGCAGATATTGAGATAGTCTAGGTGAGTAGATATTGAGATAGTCTAGGTGAGTAGATATTGAGATAATCTAGGGAAGTAGATATTGAGATAATCTAGGGAAGTAGATATTGAGATAGTCTAGGTAAGTAGATATTGAGATAGTCTAGGTAAGTAGATATTGAGATAGTCTAGGTAAGTAGATATTGAGATAGTCTAGGTGAGTAGATATTGAGATAGCATAGGGAAGTAGTTATTGATATAGTCTAGGTAAGTCGATAATTTATTTGTACAACGTCACGCTTGAGCGGGATTTCATATTAGTTTTGTTGACACCAGCACCACAAGCAGAAATGACGTCATTCCAAGGAAGGTAGTGAACAATGTTACGAATCCTCTTTGGACACCTTTTATAGTGGTGACCAGGTGGCCAAGTGACCAGGTGGCCAAGTGACCAGGTGGCCAAGTGACCAGGTGGCCAAGTGACCAGGTGGCCAAGTGACCAGGTGGCCAAGTGACCAAGTGACCAGGTGACCAAGTGACCAGGTGGCCAAGTGGCCAGGTGACCAAGTGACCAGGTGGCCAAGTGACAGGTGACCAAGTGACCAGGTGGCCAAGTGACCAGCTGGCCAAGTGGCCAGGTGACCAAGTGACCAGGTGGCCAAGTTACCAAGTGACCAGGTGGCCAAGTGACCAGGTGACCAAGTGACCAGGTGGCCAAGTGACCAGGTGACCAGGTGACCAGGTGACCAAGTGGCCAGGTGACCAGGTGGCCAAGTGACCAGGTGGCCAA